TTTTTCAACGTGTATAATTAACCGTGTCGAATGACTTGATACTAAGCTAAAAAAACTTCCACTTCTACAAAATTAGTAGCTAATTTCAAGTTAGATTCATACAATTATAGTTTGCCAATTTCAAGTTAGATTCATATTGTTTCACTTTCACGGGGCCACAGTTTGTTTATTTCAGCTATCAACCCTTCTCTTACATACAGCTGGAAAACAACAACCCAAAAAAAGAAGAGAAAAAACGTCATACAGGTGGAGATATGTATATTATAAAGGGATAAATTGCCAATTTGTGATAGTGCAAAAGAAATCGGGCGCAGAACAGAACAATGGCCAACTATTTTGCACCGAAAGCCCCATTTAAAATTTGGAAGCTGTATGTTAATAATTATTTTGTACTCTACTTCACATTTACCGATGATAATTCATTGAACCAAGATCGTAATTTGTCACTCTATATTCATTATAATCCCAGGTTCTACTAATAAATAACATAGTTAATCGTTACAAAAGCTATGCATTAATGATATTGTTTTAAGTGTAAAGAAAGTGACACATGGCATAAGAAAAATGGAGAAGGTTAAGGAGAATGTTGCTAGAATTCCCCTTTATAATAAAGAAAATTATCATCAGACAATTGTAAGATCTGAACAAGATTGGAACTAGGAATTTTTCAACGGGTGGGCTAACTATAGTTATTAGCTTTAAAATTTAGTGATTATTTTTTTTTGGTACTTACAATTTCTATAGTCTTTTTAGAAATAAAAGTAAACATTAAATCATATAAACCAAGCTAGTTCATAGCTCCATAGACTAATTTTCAATAAGTTTTAACATAACCAAATATGGTTTAACACCATAGTGGATTGAACATCTAAGGTTTTTTTTACCTAGATTGACCTTAGGTTCTTTCATGCATTCATATTATAGATGAAAAGTTATTTTATGTAAAAATATTGACTAAGTATGAAAAATGGGTTTTCGAAATAATTATTTTCTCAAGATAATTTTTGGCAGCTTTTATTCCTCACACATCAAATAAGAAAACTTGATTTTATAGGATTTTAGTATGAAGTATATATTGACTTAATGAGCCATCATTTTTAGCCTAAATCGTATTTGGCACTAAAACCGATTTTTCATATTTTGATTTGGTGGGAATTTGATTTTCTAGTATTTTTATTTGAATCCAAATGGGGGGTACTTCCTTATTTACATCGTAAACTTAAGTAAATTGAGTAATATAAAAATAAATAAAAGTAAAATGACAAAGACATTTAGGTAATATGTATAGCGCCACTGGGCTAATAAAATTGAAAATTAAATATATAATTTTTTTTTTTTTTTTTTTTTTTTTTTTTTAAAAAACCACAACGGGCTGTAGCCCCTAGTGTGGTTCCGCCCTTGGATCTGAATTGAGCTACTGCATGTTGAGAAACGTGTATATAACAGGATAATATTGTTTTTCTATATCCAACCAATTGCGTTCTGTCATATGTGATAAAGATTTCACATAGCGAGCATGATTGGATGAAGATAGTAAAACAATGTTATTCCCGTGACATGCAAGTTTTTTTTTCATTGCATGACACAAATCTTAATAAAGCGTATTCGTTGGGACCAATAGTACTTCTTATGCTCCTAAAACGGCTTGGGTCTAACTTGAAAGAAGGGTACAGATAACGACAAAAGGCCGGGTTGGAGTCGGGTATGTCATTATATCCTCGTCCTATCGAGTCAAGGACGGAACTATGAATTTTTTGAATGGTGGGCCAGCTAAATTTTTTAGCTTAAAATCTAATGATATTTTTTAACTTACAATTTCTATATATTTTGTTTTCTAGAAATAAAAGTATACATTAAATCATATAATCCTAGTTCATAGCCCTATTAACTAACTTTCAATAAGTTTAGCATATGAAAAATACATATTAAATTCAACAAAGGGTTAATGAACGAACAATGGGGAAACCACCAAGAAGACCACAAAATAGACTTTGGAAAAAAAAAATTTCCCTATTCAATGGGGAAATTACCAAAAAGACCACAAAACGAGGGCCCCAACCACAAGTGAGAACGACAAGTTGATGGGCTACAGTGTAGGGTAGCCTTGTAGGCATCGGTTAAATGGTGTCACAGGAAACTTATCTCTCCGAGTTTATCATCCGTCAATTTCGAATCCCCACGGTATCATAGTTGTATGTATACGAGAAATCTCAATTCCCTCTAGTTTAGACTATCGTCTGTATGCAAAAACAGAAAAGAAAAAAGAGTGCTAATTCCATGTCTTTTTGCAACATAGGCCTCCCTCAAATGTTAAAAACAAAACAGAGGCCTCAAATGTTAAAAACTCGCCCCTCCTACCATCAACCATGGGAACTTTTCACAGTACTAGAACAACATAGGGCAACAAAACATAGGAGCAATAAATGAGCACGAAAAATAATTTGCTTCTCCTTAAACGCAGCCTGCAACACTCGTGCAACTCTGAAATTCAAACAGTTTTCTCTCTCTCCCTTCTAGATTGTTCTTACCAAAATAATAAATGTATAGTGCGTGTGTACGTGCAAGCAAGCATGCATGCACGTGAAGGTCGGCCTATTTTGGCAGTAGATTAGTTGACTTCATTAATTTCATCATTTAATTTCGTGATTAGTTTAAGTTTGCCCTTGTATGTGGCCAATAATTATAATTATTATTATTAAGGCTAATTAGTATATTAATTATAGACAGAAAGCCAGCAAATCATGCTCTTGTTTCGCTGGCATTGCACAGATTTCTGCTTTCATGATAAACAGATAAAGGATTAATTAAAATTAATGACTGCAGAAGGAGAGCCAAATGTCAATACTTAACTAGGCCTTTGGGCTTCCATCTGTGTGCAAGAAGCCTCATTTGAGTTAGTTTGGCCCATCACAGTGGCAATGTAGATACAAAAACTCATTTGAGTAACTAAAATTTTTGGAAAATAATTAGGGCTCATCTGGTCATGTATTCGGAGAAAAACTACGGGCGGGGATTTTCCTGCCATATGACATAATGAATCTAGTTAAATCTATCATTTCTTCCATAATTTTGATTATAGAAAAAAGGTTATGATAATTTAAAAATCTTATATGAGGAGGTCAGTTACTCAACTTGCCACGTAATGAGAAAGAATCAAGCGAAATTTGTGCGTACACTAATTTCTTTGGATATACAGTGTACTTGAAGAGATAATTGAAGTATGACCATGGGTTTTCAAATACGTGAGAAGCTCATATGAAATTTGATGTGACCATAAAGCAAAGCAATGCCGTAGATGTTTCTTTTTGAGATATTTAATGATATACGCATTTTTAGCACTGATATTATAGATAAATCATACACCATTGAATTTCTATAAACAAACCCAAAAAACACCAAAAAAATGACAGCTGGTCTTATTGAATTTAATATTAATAATTAAATTACTTTGATGCCCTATTGAGTGTTTTGGGTATTTTTATGAGATTTTGGGGTTGAGCTTGTTTTAAGAAATTGATGGCGGTTTTGTAATTTATAAGAAGTTAAAAACCTCTTTGTTATGTTTTAAATGAGTTTTTGGTGTGTTTCTAAAGTTCATTTTATATGAGGTATTTTTATAATTTGAGCCCCTATATTGAGTATAATAGTGAATCTCCATTTAATTTTTTTTGTGACATCCTGTCAAAAAAATTATCAAAACTCAAGACAAGAAGAGTAAACCCAAAATATTGTACTAAAAGGGTGAGCCAATCCGACACGCTGTCAACATGTTGAAGAAGAGAGTAGTAGTAGTAATTCGGGTTGGATGGTTTGAATGGAACGGTCAAAATTCAACCCAATCAAGTCTAACATAGACACACACATATCTCCCTTCCTTCCGCATTCTCTCTCACTCTTTGTCCTTTTTTGGGTAACGTCTTAGCATAGCCTTGTCATGTTGGTTCATGTTGGTTGTTGGCATTACCAACCTCAACAAGATTATCACAAAATTAGAATAAAACACCTACTTATCCCATCTTAATTAACCTTGTATTGCACCACTTTTATAATACAAATACGACACGACCCATTTTATGTATTGCACCACTTGTAAGTTGCGTCATGGGTGTTGTACTTTATTATTATAAATTTGAGGCGATTAAGTCCGACTATTTATGTCCCTGTGTGACATTAAGGTGACTCTGCATATCTTTAAATGGAGGTGTGCCATATAAGAATAATATTATCACATTAATGACTCATTTCAAACTAACATATCTTATACTTCTATTTAGAAGCACTTTTTTAGAAGTGTTTCTATTCTATCAGAAGAACAATGTGAAATTTTGTATTGAAAATTAAAGTGCTTATTGGAAAAGCACGTGAAAATTATTCTTAGAAAACTATTTGAAAGTGATTCTTGAGAAAAGTACTTGAAAGTGATTCTTGAGAGGGCTTATATGACATCGAAATACTTATAAGTTTTTCTGCTCAACGCTATGAAAAGTTTTTGCCTATTTTAGAATCATTATTAAACAAATCCTAACATCGTAAGACTCATACACTATCAAGAAGATGTTATGGAGTTCGAACATAAAACTACTGGTCAGCAAAAATGAACACTGCTCGACTCCTTGTTAGTTGAAAAGTTTCAATTTCCGTACAAGAAAGATTGAGTTTTAACCACAAAATACAGCGGCGGCATACGAGCCACCGTGTCTTGGACAAGTCATGTTTGAGTAGCAAAAGGAGGTCAAAGCTGTCAAAAATTAAGTCTTTCTTGCAATTTTACCTTCTTCCATTTTCCCATATTTCCATTTTTCCATTTCCACAGTGTCTCTCAACGACTGACGCTACGGTCGCTATTACCACCACAATTGACAAAAGCTCCAGAGCAACAAATTTTTTTTTTTCCCACAGCTGCCTTTCGAAGACCTTCGTCTACTTCCTGAACTTCCAATCTTTTTCCCCCAATTTTCAATTATCGCCACCACCAACAGCAGCTCAAAACGCAGCGTTTCATGGAAGCTCCAACTCCGCCTTCGCCTACAGAGCTCGACGCGGCGGAGAGGATTATTCTCCTGTGGGACTCGACGGCCTCTGAAGAAGCCAGGGAACGAATGATATTCGAAGGCCACCGCGACGAAGTCGATCGCTACTTGCAGGCCGTCGATGAAATCCAACGCTCCATGTCCTCCGCCTCCCTCGTCTCCGACGACGACCAGGCCAAGCTCAACTCCGCCATCCAGATCGCCATGGCGAGGCTCGAGGACGAGTTCCGCAACATCCTCCTCAACCACACCTCTCCCATCGAGCCAGACTCACTCACCTCCGCCGATCCGAGCTCGTCCACTCACTCCTCCGCAGCTGATTCGACCTCCGAGTTCGAGGATTTCTCTCCCGAAGACGACTCCGGTTTGACCACTCCCAAGGCCTCCTCCGCCTCCGTCGGCGACGCCGACGAGCTGCTTCAGCGTGGCGATTCGTCGAACACTTGCAGCTACAGGTCCACCAGCAGCATCCGTGAGCTCGATCTCATCCCCTCCGATGCCGTCGTCGATCTCCGCAACATCGCCGAGCGGATGATCGCCGCCGGTTACCTCCGCGCGTGTATTCAGGTGTACGGTGGAGTACGGAAGTCCGCAGTAGACTCGAGTTTCCGAAGGCTAAAGATTGAGAAGTTGAGCATCGGCGATGTTCAGAGGCTTCAGTGGGAGCAGCTCGAGGCCAAGATCCGACGCTGGATACGCGCCGCCAAGGCCTGCGTCAGGATCGTCTTTGCCTCGGAGAAAAAGCTCTGCGAGCAAATCTTCAACGGCATCGGCACCGCCATTGACGACGCTTGCTTCATGGAAACAGTGAAGGAGCCCGCGATTCAGCTCTTCAACTTCGCAGAGGCGATCAGCATCAGCCGGAGGTCGCCGGAGAAACTCTTCAAGATTCTCGACTTGCACGACGCTCTAATGGACTTGATGCCGGATATCGAATCTGTGTTTGAATCGAAATCGTCCGAGTCGATTCGGATTCAGGCGGTGGAGATCCTGTCGAGGCTCGCGGAGGCGGCTAGGGGGATTTTGTCGGAGTTTGAGAACGCAGTGCTTCGCGAACCTTCTAAGGTCCCGGTCCCGGGTGGGACGATTCATCCATTGACTCGGTATGTAATGAATTACATCAGTTTGATATCGGATTATAAGCAGACTTTGAATGAACTTATTGTGTCAAAACCCTCCACGGGGTCGCGGTACTCTGGCGACCCCAGCACCCCGGATATGGAGTTTGCCGAGCTGGAGGGAAAGACCCCTTTGGCTCTGCATTTGATTTGGATTATTGTGATTTTGCAATTTAATTTGGATGGCAAATCCAAGCACTATAAGGATGCTTCAATAGCTCACTTGTTTATGATGAACAATGTTCATTACATAGTTCAGAAGATCAAAGGGTCCCCGGAACTGAGGGAGATGATCGGTGACGATTATTTGAGGAAGTTGACCGGGAAGTTCCGCCAGGCGGCCACTAGTTACCAGAGAGCTACTTGGGTGAGCGTGTTGTATTGTTTGAGGGATGAAGGGTTACATGTGAGTGGGAGTTTTTCTTCTGGGGTGTCAAAGAGTGCTCTGAGAGAGAGGTTCAAGTCTTTCAATGCCATGTTTGAGGAGGTTCATAGGACTCAAGCTACTTGGTTGATACCGGACTCTCAGCTTAGGGAGGAGCTAAGGATATCTATCTCAGAGAAGTTGATCCCAGCTTATAGGTCGTTTCTTGGGCGGTTCAGGAGCCATATAGAGAGTGGGAGGCATCCGGAAAATTACATCAAGTATTCAGTCGAAGATTTGGAAACTGCTGTATTGGATTTCTTTGAGGGGTACTCGGTATCCCAGCACTTGAGGAGGAGATCTCAGTGAATGTGATCAAATTGAAGTTAAGTTTTGCAAGTTTAGAAACTAGGACACATTCTTTGAATTTTTGTGTGGAGTGTTCGGGTGATGATGGTGCTGGTCAGTCTGGGATTCAATGAGCTTTCCATTTCATTACAAATCCTACATAGTTCAATATTCTGTTGATTGGAGGAGATCAGATTGTTTGTGAAGATCTCAGTTGTAGCTCTACAGAGTGGCCAAGTCTACAAGCCTGAATACTTCTGCCCTGTAAGCATGCTATTTATTATCATTATTATTATTATTATTACTACTACTACTAGGATCTAGATTTTGTTTCATTTGTTCATATTGGAATCGTTGTGTGTGTGCTTTGTTCCACTCTTTTTAATAATATCAAGAAGCAGTTTCTTATAATTAGTTCCAGGTGACTTGTATACCATGTCATATTTTTAGCCTTTTCATAAGGCAAATTTGGAAAAAGAAATCTTAGATAAGTTTTGACAATTGTAGCAATTTCCAACACAAGCTTCAGATGATTTCTATGCCATATCGTAACTTTCTGGCCATGATTGAGATGCATATGGAAAATGTTGTATAAATAGGCTTCGACATAAAAGAGGAAACCTTATGGACAATTGCTTCTAATTTTAGTAAGTAAAACCGCGCATGTGGAGTCGATTTTAATTAAAGTTCGTTTGAAGTTGTTTGCATCTCTCAGTAACTAAACTACCATATATAATATGTAGCTTTGTCCCTTCAGCTGCCCCTCTCAAGTTGCATTACGGTGCCTCTGCCATCTCTGCTTCAGTTGAGGTTTCTGTATGTTAAATGAGTTAGTTTTCTAATTACCTTAGTTTTGCTCCTTATGTTATTTATGATATATAATAAATTTAGGTTTATACTTGGCATTTTTATTGAATTTCTCTCGGTAAATGTAAATATGATTTTATGGATTTTATAAGAGAAAGTTCTGTGATTAATAAGTTAGCTGTAGCCTGGATCTAGAATATATTTGGCAAGAAGAGTTGGTGCTTCTGTTTGTTCTGAACCAATATTTTTGAATTCCTATTCCTTCCAACTCTGCAAATCTAGCTTAACTTGGGCAAAGCCATTCTTTCTTCATGTGGAAATGTTTCCCATGGCCGAGAGTGGACTTCCAACCAGGCCTCGGGGTATCGATCTCTCGTCGGGCCTGCCAGATTTTGCATCCACCGGTACAGAGCAAACAATTTCCTCACCTTTACATTTCATAATATAACCTTCAGGATCAGATGATGATTTGTTAAAATCTCACTTCAAGACATTTCCATTGACATAGTTCATTCAATCTGTCGGTTCTACGTGTTATAACAAAATATTTGAACTAGTCACTTATTTGCAGCCAGATGGCGTTCGCACAATCCTTCCACAAAAGCTAACAAATCGTTTTTCATGCAAAGGTACTATGATATCAAATGAGTACCACGCGCATCATAGTTTCTGTGTCACAGGAAAAATTCCCATAACAGGGAAAATGCTCAGGATCCACTCTATCAGGTACTAGATCTTATGGTAAAGAATCGCATACGTGCAAACACCTACAAACCATGTGTTAGAGAGATTATAGTGTTGTTCTCCCACCCGTGTTTGATCAACAAAAAGAAGGGAAATAACCTTAAATATTTTCAAACAGGAATTAGATTGATGGATAACACGCGCGTTTAAGCTTTTGAAATCAACCAAGGGCTTCACCACCAGTACTGAGATAAAATGTGAACCGCCAATGATATAAATATATTTATCAGAAAAGAACACGACAACAACAGATCTCATTTGCGTATCTTTGACTACTTGTAAGTGGAACATTAATAATAATAACGAAATAATCGAATACACAAGGACATGAAACAAAACTAACTAACGTTATAATCCAAACATACAATTTGAATTTTCTATCCCATGACCAATTCTGCTCCTCTGTTTATCATATGTTCCCTTTGTAGTGTTAAGGAGCAGCTGGATATTGTTGCAATGCAAACAAAATGTACCAGCTGGGTGGTTCTACTTTACTCTATCTTGTCTTCTTCATCATCACCTTTTGATAACCCATTGCTGCCTTGCATTGCTCTAGCTTCTGGTGCACTAAGGACATCCTTGGCAGGCGTTAGAGATGGCTTTATGAGTGTCAAGGTCGTATCATCCTTGTCAAACTCTTCGCTTGCATCTCCCGAGTAAGCATATCTAAGAAAACAGAAGCGAGATAGGGTGGGGATAAGGGTTAATTCATATACCAAAAGAAAGAAGGGTTGCCAGTTTTCAAATAAAATATACAAAAAGGATAGATTCATGTAACAAGTTTAAACATGACAACTTTTCTGAGTGAAAGGATGGAAGCCTGATCTTTACCTTGTTGAGTTCTGCGATGGTGCCCAAAGAACGCAGATGACAAATAGGAGAGAGAAAGATAAAACTTGCCAGAAGGCAGGGACGATCCATGCATTCTGCCACTGCTCATTGTACACATCATTTGATTTGAAATATAGCTGCAAGTACAAAGTTCAAAATGCTTGACTTGTCAAATTAAAAACAAAGAGAGCTGCACACACGATCATGTTGTATTCAACAGATGCAAATCATTTATCCGTAAGTAAAAATGGACATGCTAACCCACAACCAAATCACAAATACTTTATTCATCTTCTTAGGTAAAAGTGCATGCATTTCAATTTCGAGATTACCTCATAGCATATCCAACCCACAGACACAACGACAGTCACTGCCAAAGCGTTGGTAAACTTCCTGTAAATATCTAGTTTAACCATCATTCGCCTAGCCTGCCACACCACAGAAGCAAGAAGAAGTAATCAGCCAGATACTTATAAGTTAAAGTTCTTGACAGAAATTGGTGGCATCACATCATGCAGCATACGTTAAACCTAAGTATACCAATACAATACCCCTGGATAAGCCACAAACAAGAGATGAATGGTAAACTATGGTTGACAAAGAGTATGATTTTACTTCATTTTCTCATATAATTTTCCTCAAGATTCAAGCATATTGGTTTTTCATTTTGGTAAGACAAATTGGCAGATTATATGAAGCAAGTGCAGAAAATTAGTAAATGAAGTTTATATTGAAAATAATTCACTAAATATCCTTGGAATCAAAACCAAAGCACGTACCTGAAGCTTATTTAAAGTTGCGGAGAGGGAAGTGAATATCCAAAGAATGAAGAAAGCATCCAATATTGCAACAGGAAGAACCAAGAACAACCTTGCCTTTCCGGAAAGATCACTTACTGCACCTACGTTTTCTACCATCTCAAGAACCTCGGATGCCACAAAGAAGGTCAGTCCAAGCAAAATCACCTTTGATGTAAGCCCACCAAGGGAAGGCCTTACAACACCGAAGCCCATGGAGACCATCAAAAGTATCACACGTGCCACCGTACGCTTAACCGTCCCAAAGGTAACTGCCCATACAGTTATCCCAGTTGGTCGGACTCCGGTCTCGTTGAATTCAGCATACTCAAAATACCATAGAGCCATCTCAAACATACCCAGTGTTATTACCAGAGTGATACAGTTCTGCAATGGGAAAACTTGTCTCCAAAATCTTGCATACTGTGAGAACCAAAAGATCCCAAGTATGACAAAAGCAAGGGACATAAACCCATAGAAATTCATAAAAGGTGCCATTCTACCAGGTAAATACCCAGTAGGGTTTTTCCATATAGTTTTCCCCTCAACAACCAAATCGTTCAGCTTCAGATCGCAATGAATGAAATACAAATTGTACATCCCAGTTTTAGTAATCTGTATGGATTTGGATGGCAATGTGGCAACTTTCTCATGTGCTTCAAATGAGACACCAAATACCTGAGGCCAACCTGGATTCTTAGTAGATGGGCGGTGTATGATTTCGCCTTCAGTACAAACTCCCAGTTTTGCAAGATCCCCTGTGCAACACACTGCTCTTTGACCACCATAGGCTGAACCCCCAATAGTCTCTCTATCCTCCACCTCAAAAACAATGGCATGGACAGGCCATGAGCTCAAGTTAGCAGATTCTTTGCTTCTCCTAAATGTAATCTTTTCAAAGCTGGTTCCAAATTATAACACAAAATCAGACAATGGGTACAAACAAGGTGCAAGTAAAAAATAAAATAAAAATAAAAATCAGCTGCAGCCACTAACACATGAACTGGCCAATCACATTCAAAATTCCCATGAAAAAGCTTGGTTTCTTTACAATTTACAAACCAGAATTACCAATTATGCACCCAATTAATCAAATATTCAAGTGAAGCAAATTGGGCAGCAGGATCTTACCCAATTACAAAGTAGACAGACTACAGCTAGAAAGCAAAGAGAGGAAATGGGAAAATGAAATTCATGATTTACCGTATAAATGAGTCGCCGTTGGCAGAGACGGAGGTCGATTGAGTAGGGGCAGAAGCGTAAATTCCCTCGCTGCCGCCATGGACGACAAAGGCGTTGCCTTTAGTAGCGAATCTCTCTCCGGCGTACTCGTGGACCGAAGATTCCACGCCCAAAACGCACACCAGAAGAACAAGGGCTGAAGAAGAAAACCACATTTCAATTTCAAAGCCCTAAATTCCAATTCCTAAAACCCAAATCTAAGAGACAGCAGAGAAAGAGAGGAAGCTTCTCTCTGGTGGTCTCTGAAATCTGATCTGTTTTAGCTTTCAGCTGCCTTTGTCTCCCAAGACTCTCTCTCTCTCTCTTTCTAGTTTCTACTCTTGCCACTTGAGACTTGCTGGGACTGTGTTTAATAAATGTTTGTTTAATGTTGAGGTGAGAGAGACAATCTTGTGTATAATACACGTATGGCTTAGTTTTCGTGTGAGTGGGGTTAAAGTCGTTGAACTGAATGCACGAGGGAACGTGCGAAACCACGAGCGTCCGATTATTTACTTTTCATATAATTATTATTTATTATTTATGGATTTTGAATATAAATAATGTGTCTGTTTGGTTTGGCCTTTGAGTAAAAGCCTGGCCAGTAAGATTTTCATCCTTATGTTGCGACGAGACGAATGCCATCAAAGTCAATGCTGTCGGTGTTTAGAAGAATTGGACACTCCATTCCACTCTCTTCTGTTCTATACTGAATGAGAAAAACTTACTACGGAACAGGGTGGCTTGTTCGGTTGGTCAGGCCGCCTGAACACGTGAATTGTCCGGCCATCCGGCCAACTTCAAGAAAGAAAGACACCCCTGTTCTTTGATCCCATTCCATGGCAGCCCCACCATTGTTTTCAGCCCTACAAAATTATGCTGAGATGCCAATAACAGCTTTCATTAAAAAGAAAACAAATATAGCGGGACTGGATCAAACAAGAACACCAGATGTCAAGCCAATGAGAAATTACTGGAATTAGTACTGTGTCGGCTTTGATGCGTCATTCTTTGTGTTCATTTGATTCTTTGATGTTCTTTATTGCGTACTCAAAAAGGTTTATAAACAAACTAAATCAGGGTACCTTGGACTTTCGAATCCGGCACAAATTTTTGTCATACTAAAAGCAAAGGGATACTTCTATTCAACTCAGACAAATATTACAGAAACAAATTTGAACTATTGTTCATTACAACTATAATTTCCAAGGATTTTAAAACCTCTACCATCTACGGACACCAGACAACCTGAGGGAGAAGACGAGAAAGAAAAGAAGCCGCTATAATATTTGCGGATGGACGACAAGTGAATAACTCCATGAACTTGGTGCAAAATCCTTTAATCCATGTCAAGGAACTCCATTCTTTTTCTCATGGTACCTTTAAGATCAGACGCTTCTCGTTCTGCTTTCTGTGCCTGCACAATTACAAGGCAAATCATTAGTACAGGATTCCAATAAAAGCAAAGCACATCAAAATATAACAAACAAAGCAGAACCAAATATAACAAGAACACTGGAAAGGAAAAATGGAAAACCATTTATTCATGTACCCTACCACCAGGAAAGCCCTAATTCAAACCCCACTCGGGGACCAACATCTTTTGGCCAGGTTTCTAGACATTCTGCCTCTTGGTATGACTTTTGCAAAATGGCTTACCAAGTTTACTCAAATTCACAGAATTATTTAACCCCAGTTTTGGTAACCTGGAAACCTTTTCTGTTGATCTGTTGACTCCAATACATAAAGTAAACAGATATACAAGAAAACATTTTTATGAAGGTCATTTGGAAAAAAAAAGGGCATAGACATTAAAGGTACTTAGAATTTCATATACTAACACAAACTCTTCAGAAAAGATATTTGGGCTAATCATTACAATCATCTTTACTCCAGCAATGTCAGATATTTCTCTCTTCTAGAAATGTTAATGATTTCTCTTATGGATACTTAAACACACATAGAACAAATGATCCTATTATCCCGCCAGACATTTGTATGCTTACATTTTGAACATATAGCACAAAATTATACACCAGCTCAAGCATCCTATAACCTGGAATCAAACTTCCAAAGTTGTGATGAACATATGCTTCTAAACTGCATCATTCACCTACTAATTTCCATTGCAAATTTTATTCCCCTAATCTTCTCAATATTTATTTTCAAACCAAGTGTTTTAAAATCATGCAGCTTTACAAACTCAATCTGAAACAACTCAGTATCTTAAACAAATTGAAGTCCAAAACAAAGTTTTACTTCATGAAGGAAAAAGGAAGGAACTGAGGGAGTATCAACACACCATTCATAGATAACATCAAGCTGGTAAGACTTACACTTTTGATTTCTGCAGCCGAAACACGAGTCATGTGTGGTGGAAGTTCCTCTCTCTCCGAATCCTAGAACATCAAATGCAGATCTTAACATTATTCAAAGATGCAAAATTTCAATCTCTTGTAAGTTGTGGATGCCAAACCAACCAATAACTAATCATACCAGCTCGCCAATTAGAACAACATTCTCCCCACGGATTACATAAAGACCTAAAGGGATGTCACAGTAAAGTTCACCAACAATGACTCGCTCACATGCACCCTCGAGAACAGCATTGGCTGCAAATCAGAAATAATAATAATTTTAGAAGATTGAGCAAAAGTTTAGCATGCGTTCCCCACAACAATAGAGGAGATAATGTTGGTACCAAATTGATCAAAAGAACGAAGAATCCCCAAAAGCTTCCGACCATCTCGGAGCAGCACAAGAAGTTTTTCTGCAGCATGAAAAATAACATCAGACCACTGCGCCTTTACTGCAAGAAAACAATCGCTGAACCCACAACTAAAAAGCCAACCTAAACCCATCATGCAATCTTCAAGTCAATTTTATTAATATTCATTCAAAGATGTCACTGACAGCGAGATTTAAAGAAATATTGTTATGCACCATGCACCAACTTCAGACCTCAAAACATATTTTTACACACTTCTGAAGTATTGATGTATCTACAAGGTAATTCAAATACGAGAAGAAGAAAAATTCAAATGGAAACCTATAAAGAACATAGACTACATTGAAAACAAAACCCTTGAGATGAAATTGAATAAACAAATTGAACCACAAAGAACACAAACAAGAACAAATCAATGGCACAGTGACAAAGATGCATCAAAACAATCAGGAAAGAACTAGAAATGATATCATAACTTCATGCAACCATTAAATTCATAACCCCAGAAAAAGTAGAAATTAGAGAAAGCATACTGTCAAGATAGCTGGCAAGAGAAGTGGAGAGGTAGACATCTTCGGGGCCCGCCCAAGACATTGGTGTTTCTTCCTAGCTCTAAAAACTTCAACCTTTTCGGTTTATCAAAAATCACCGAAAATTTTACCAATATCCAAACCAATAATGGCATTGGCAGCACAGGCTTCTCTCTGATGCCCCGCCAAGACCTTCAATTTCCTCCAAGATAAACAACACCAAAACCAAGGGCCTAACTTCGAACAAGATAAGCAAAAGACCCTAACTTTAACGAACTACGCAAGAAAATCCTAGCTTTTTCAGATCCAAAAACCCTAGAAATTGAGGAGAGACAAAGAATTCGAGGCTTCTCTTCCGGATTAATGGGACCGGATAAATTTGTAATTAAAAAAACACTCAGATCCAATTGCCCCGGAAGAGTACGAGGGGGAGAATTTGGCCGGCGAAACGAGAGAGAAAGTGAGAGAAAATCCAGAAACAATGGAGGCAAGGGGTTATTTTATTTATTGGGTCGAGAATTACAATTATTCTAGGGTTTGGAGAGTGACATGGTTTTGTTTGGAAGTAAAGCAAATATCTTAGAAGTGTTTTTTTTTGGTTGATCTAAGATCCTAGGATTGCTTCTTTAGGAAGTACTAATGCTTATAAGCATTTTTATTATAAAAATTTAGAATTTTCATAAAAAACATCTAAGTGCTTCGTGAAAAAATACTTGAGAATGCTTCCTAAAGAAGCATATGACTCTAGAAAGTACTTCTAAACTTTTTTGCCAAACATTATCAAAAGCGTTTTTTGTTGTTAGAAAACGCTTTTAGTCTTTCCAAAAACACTCTCATAAGTGTCTTAGTAGTTCCTCTATTGGTTTTGTCTAATCTATATTTGGGTCGAAATCTATTATCTAAATTTGATTCATAATTGGGAATCGTTGGATGATTCATAGATGGAAATAGTAAATTGTGACAAGTAATTAAATAGAAGGGTAACACTACTACACTAAATGAGTGCTGCTATTTTCCCACCCATCTTGTAAATTTGAAAAAACATAATCCTATCTTTCCACCCACTATTATTCCTAAAATACCTTTTAATTATTAATTCTATTTTTCTCATTCTTTCTTCTCTTCCTTCTCCCCTCCCTTGATTCAATCTTCTACCATGAAGAAAGTTGGTTCCTTCATCTTCGGAAAATCTTGAGAGGTCCTTTTTTGTTCAGAATGAAAGGTCTCTTTTTGTTCTTTAAAATTTTAGCGTTGTAGTGAATGGGCTGAATGTTGTTTGCTTTTTTTTTTTTTTTTTTTTTTCATACAAACTTGAGCAACTCACATGCCCAGTAATCCACCATGAAAGCAACATGTTTGAAGCAAAGAGAGAGCCCATATAGATGGAATGGAAGTATCGTTAAAAAAATAAAGAAGCAAAAACAGTTTAGATATATGTCATTTTAGAAGCAAACAAAGTTTAGTTTGTACAAAGAATATAAAGCACAAGCGCATGACCTCGCAGTAAAAAAATCCTAGATTACTTTCTAGGAGGATCGCTTGAGTATCAGAAAGTTCCGAACCAGTTGGCGTCATTACTACATCAGGTTTTGTTTTCTTTTGTTTTGTTTTTTCCTCTCTCTCTCTCTCTCTCTCTCTCTCTCTCTCTCTGTGTCTCTCTGTCTCTCTGTGGGGGAACTGAAGACAATTTCTTTTATCTTTCAAGAGAGCAAAACAAAAATGAATGGCCTTGTTTCACCCCGTCCTTAGAGGTCATTTTACAGAGAAGTAAATTTGATCTTATAATTTTGAAGATAAATGTGAGGCGAGTAGAACAGAAGGTGAAAATAGCAACATTGTACTAAATTTTAATTTTGCCAATTTAGTAGTTGTATTAGAATTCGGTCTGATTTGATTTGATTTAGATCTAAACCGCATACTAAATTTGTGTAATATTACAGTTCAAATAATACACTTTAGCCTTATACTGAAAGTATAATCAAATCAAACCAACCTATTTAGTAACCGATTTGATTCAGTCATTTGATTAAACATCAATTGTAGTTCCTCTAGTACATTTCAAATAGAAATTCATGTTGTATTCTTTGACATAGATTGAACCGAATCAAATCAAACAATTGTGCTTTGTTATTCAATCTAAGATAATATTTTTTGGTGTAAAACGAACCGAACCACTTAATTTGATTTGGTTTGCCTGATTTAAATGGTTCAAATGGTTTTTTGCTCACCTTATCTATGTTTTATTCTCTTAACACAATTTTTACTATCCTTCTATTTCATTTGGGAAAAACTTGCATCATTTCTCAAGTATGAAGTTTTACATTCATGTCCATAACAGTTGGAGTTTACTATGTGTGTGTTTTTGTTTTTGTGTTGTTGACGCATTGTTTTTGCACATGTGTGGGTTGATAAGCGTGGATTGTGGAAATGGCTGCAGGGAATTAAGCGAGCTCCTCCTAAGTTTTAAGGAGCCAAACTTTTTCTTTAATAAAAAAACAATCCAAAAATGGGTTGATAAGTGTGGATTGTGGAAATGGCCCATGAAGTGCAAAGCCCAGTTTATTTCAATCCTACCTTATTAGGCCTTCTCACAAAATTTTCTCATATGATCTCTCAATTGCAGTCTCCCTTCCTTAGAAGTGTTCTTATCCATGACATCGCTGATTCAACAATTTGACAGTCTTATTTTCCATTAGATGTTTCTTATTGTGCTCAGTTCAACCATGTTTATAATTCATTATATTAAAGGTGGTTTTGTGTAATCTCACTTGGCATTTAAATAAAGAAAATAAAAGAAAAGTGATGGGCTAATGGTTGGCATTCAAATTGAACTTCATTTTGAAAACAAGGGGCTCTGGGCAGGTGAAGAGAATCAGAAACTCTGAACCATGCCTTCATAAGTTCATGTCAATCTAATATTTATTCACCTCAAATTATATTACAAGATAGCAATTCAGCCACAAAAAAAAAGGAAAAAGAGAGAGAAAAACAAAAGACAGAGAAAAATGTGTAGAAAATAAACAGGATGAAAAATGTAGATATCGTCTAGCTCAATTTGCCAGCACAGACTACAGAAATCCCTTGTCCCCTTGAAATTTCATAACATGCATTGCAACTGTTTACACAGATGCAACCATGAAAAAAAGGGGAACCGCCACCGTTAACAAAATAGAGAAGCTGTCTCAGTCATACATGCATATTTTATGGTCATCTCAGGAGCCACTGGGGATGAACTTATTGATGATTTGGTGTTGCCCCTATGAAATTTCTCAGACTTTGCCATTTCAAGTATTTGATTTGAGTCATATAATTGTATGAAGCATAAACTTCTGACTCTGCAGATAAAAAAAGAAGAAGTTTAATTAGCATATATGAAAGTGAAAAGAGTGGCAGTCTCATTTCAATGAAACTGAAAAAGGGTTCTCTTACCTTTGTAATAACTAATAAGAATGCCAATAAAGTCAGAGGCACACTCAAATTTCTAGGACTATATCTGCAATGAAAAAAAACAGGTCACATCAGATCCACAGAGTTTGTGCAATTTGGTTCCCTCATTTCTTCCCCCCGCCCCCCTTCTAAATTTGAGCATGTTATAAATCATGCTATTTGAAGAAAAGAAAACAGCACTTACATTCAGAATCTGTCTTGACCCATTTACATCCATCATTAATTTTCTCTTTTGTATCATCTTCAGTGTTACTTTCCTTCTTTGTTGGAATCTGTCTATCCCCCAGGTATTTCTTCATCGATGCTGCTCGAGAAGATCCTTGCGGATTGATGATCTTCTTGTTAAGCATTACCCTCAAAAGCTGCAAGCCAAAATATGGATGATCAATTAGGATGGTACTTAATTAAATAACTGACATAATTTTATAATGCATATGTGCATGTTCATATTCATGTAAGCTTTTCACATAGTTTTTGTGAGCATAGTCATGGTTTCATACCTTCTCCATTCTTGACTCTTGAAATGTATCTCTGAAACTTGGTTGTGGTGCAAATCCACTTCTGCAAACAAACATCTTCTTGAGAAGAAAAGAAATGGATTTCTTCCCAATTGCCTTCTTATTATTATCTCCACAAATTTCTTTGCATCTACCAAGTATGACACTAATAGTCTTCTCAATGTCTTCATCCTTGTGATCATCTGCTGAATCGGAGCAAAGTGCATTGCTGTTTCTCCGATCAACCTCCAAGCTTGATGGGCAGTTTAGAAATCTGTCCAATGGAAGATCTGCGATTTCCTTTTCGATGCTTGGTTTTCGCGTTAAGAGCTTTGTTAACTCTTTATGTAATTTGCCAACCTCTTCAGGAGTGAAATTATCTAGTATTTCTTCTGATGAAGTTGGATCTTCCTGAATATCTTGGCTTTCAGCTGCATTTTCTTTCAAATCATTGTTTCCAAAAGTTCCAATTGCTAGTAATCCATGAGGCCAGTCACTGAATTCTTCACGAGGCTCTTGTTTTGCAGGATCTACACAACAAATACATAATTACATGACAAATCCTAACTGACATGAATGATATGGGAGTTGAAAAGCTGCATTATCCTTATATTTATTATATATATGGACAGGCCATATTGAAAATAGTGCAAGCCTTTTTCTTTATTTTTGCCTTTCTGTATATGTAACTTTAACTTGTGCAGCATTTTCAAAGTGTCTTTTTGTAAAGACAGTAGATCTACTTTGTGCTCCAGAAAAATGATCCTTTTATGATCCCTACATCACATGCACTTTCCTATTGCTTTAATCTATATGAAAAAGTACGTGAAACCTCTTACTGAAACAAAAAAGCACCAAGACTTGATCAAAATCAAGAGCTTTGGGATCTGATCATGGAATATTGTTGGATTTGAAACTTACAATGAGGTTAAGAATATGGAATTTGGCAGAAATTGCATGTACTGTAGATCTGGATCTTTATAAACAATACAACTGGTTAACTTAGTTCATTGATAATTCCATGTTCTGAATCTTAATCAATTTGAAGTACACGTCTGCTCATTAACATGATCCTAGAATGCTGGTGTTATCAACAAATAGCCCATTACTATGGATTCATCTTGAGATCCACAATTGTGCACGACTCACCCACTTATATAATACACGTGAACGACTGTTGCTAGCACAACTCTTTAATTAATTAAGATCCTAGTAAACTAATTGCTTTTCGCTTCAAAATGGCAAATTACCCTTAACATTGCATATATAGCTTGTTAAAGAAAACAATTCCCCTTATATAGGAAGCAAATCCCATCACTTAGATTGAACCACAAACTATGGAACATAAAAGTAACATAGAAATGCAGAGGTTTTTTATTTTTTGGGTAAAAGAATAAAGCTTACGAGTAGTAGTAGGAACTGTATTTGGTTTCTTGTTCCCCTGCTTTCCATTAAGCTTATTTTGCATCCAACCAAAAAGCTGCAATCAAATAAAACCAAGACCATCATTGAAGAACCTCATTTGCCAGTCACTCAGGCCTGTTTCAGCTGGAAAAAAAGAAGAAAAAAAACAGACCAATCTCTCTGTCTCTGTCTCTCTGTTTCTCTAACACACAGAAACAAATACATAAACACAAATGTAAGTTTATGTAACAGAAGCAAAGACTCACCTTCATTTTCTGATATACAAATAGCCAAGGATCTTCTGAGTTCTGACAGAAAGGTGGTGGAGATGGTTGGAGGAGAGTGGTGGGTTTTGTTTTGCAGAAGTGAGGTGTTCAAGAGTAGATCTTAAAAGCCAATGAGAATTGGGCTTTGGGAGAATAAAACTAAAGATGAGGGGTTGTTGAATTTCATGGCCAAGCTGATCAAAGAGGGTTGGCTAGCTAGCTAGCTAGCTAGCTTGATTTCTACTGGTTCAAGTTCCTAAACACAGGCTTTATATCTTTGTATCTAGCCACTATCTTTGCCAACTCTCCTCTTGCCTTTCTTATATAATAACTCACACTCCATACACCACTAGCCCAAAAAACATTCTGTTTAATTCTTTACTTTTAGTTTAAGCCGCACACATACTTAATTACACATGGGTCACTCTGATTTTGCGGACACATTATTCTGGAACATCTGCTGTGAATTGTAGCCTCTGTCTCACCAATTTTTTCCACATGAAATTTGGAACCAATCTCTATACAATTTTGCTGTACTACATTTTGTCCAACTTGTGGTTTTTAATGCCTAAATTGTGTACTTAAATCCCTTTTAATATTTCATGGTTTTCACCAACCTCTTCGACAACCTTCTTCTTCAACCTTCTTCTTCTAACCTCAATACATGCACATAAATCACTCACTTTGTACTTTGCACTAGAACTCTGCAATTTTGCAAGTAGTCAAGTCAATTACTTTGGAATGAAGCATATGCTTAGTCTATTATGGTTTGCACAAAAAAGTTGCTTGCTTCAAACACTGCTTTTGCTATTCATTCTCACAAACATGTCAGTAGATGCCCCTCCAAAAGTGGCATTTGTTAACATAATGCAGTTTCAAAGTCCAGCCTATCAATATGCTAGCTTTTTGTCACTGAGGGAGAATCAATCCATATAATCAATTAAGGTGGTTTTAAGAGATTTTATAGAGAAGCACATGAGGGCTTCTCCCCAAAATCACTTAAAATCACTTAAAGTGATTATATGGATAAGCACGTAGGAGATGCTTCTCCTCATAAGCGGTTATGGCCTTCCCATAATCACTCCCAACTTACTTCTGAAAGTGCTTTTTTTTTTCTTCTTCCATTAATACTAACATTTCATACAGATGGCAGATGGGAAAATGTTTCTCCCAAAAGGGCATCTTGGTAGAATAATTCAGTTTTGAATCCTACAACAAATTATTTTGCCACTGCATTTGCTTGTCCAATGCACAAGCTTTCAGCAGGAAAAAAACAATTAGCCTAATGGGAACAGAACAGAGTAGAGGAAGCCTTAAGAAATTTTACTCTGGCCAGCAGATAACAGTTGGAGGCTACCTAGGAATACACATCAGAAAACTTTGCTGAAAAGTTTATGAGAATAAAAATGACATATTGATGGCAGATCCAGACAAATGGTTTAGGTTATAGGAACTTGGAGGCATGGGCAGCATGCAACATTAGCAATATATCCAAATATAAATTAAAATAATGGGGCCATGAACAAAAGGCCATCAATCTTCAAGTGAAGAAAAACCTCACGTTCGCGTGGGAATGTCCCTCACTCACCGGACTGGCAGCCTCATAATCTCACCTGCCTCCACCCAAATCTTGTAGGGCACAAAAAACCTCTCACAACAATGCCAAGCTGCTTCAAACTCATGGACCCTTTGGCCAAAAAGAACATCTCATGGACCCTGTTGTTCTAAGGACCAATAGAAATGCTACACTAAACACTAGTGTTATGTAGTTCGGCAATGTTTGGGACGGTTTTTGGACTGGTTAAAAGTGTTTTCTAACAACCAAACGTACTTTTGACAACGTTTGATAGAAAAAGTTAAAAATGACTTTTTTGGAAAGCACTTTGAAGCACTTGGGTTTTTAATAAAAATTTCGACATGCTTCTGTTAAAATTGCTAAAAATAAAAATATTCACGAGTAGTGTTTTCTATAAAGTTAGCTGCAAACAAGCTCTTATAGTACGTAGTTAGTGATTGTCTATTTGTTAATTTCCCTTTTTCCATAATAAAAGTACAACTAAAGTTTAGTTGTCATCCAAGAGAAACATGTATTTTTTGATACATTGGGAGGAAGGAAACCCCTTGGGGTTTTGAATTTGGGTGTCAAGCAGAAGGGAAAGGGGAGGCCATCACTAGGGTACCTGCTCTCGACAGAGGAACATGTATTTGATAGCAATGAAAACTTACATTCTTTGAAGTTAAATTATACCTGAAAGGGCAAAAGGATAAATAATATACCACACATGCTAAAAGTACCATTGGTCAAGTTATTGGAAAGATCTGGTCATTTCCCAAGAGATATTTCAAAGTATAATCTCATTTCATGACCACCGTCACCAACATATGCAGGAAACACAAATTTAAGATGAAGAACATGTTCGAAAAATCTCATTGAAACATGAGCAGAACAAATCCCTCTGCAACAAAGAGAAGCAGAAAATTCTTCAACTACAGATCCCTATTTTGAAGGGACACCTACATATTAATTGACTTGAAATGAACCATATCAAGCAATTTGATGACTGCCCATTTTTCTGAAATCCTACTGAAAAGTACCCCCATGGAATCCCAAAATTGATAAAAATGCATGGTTTTTGTTGTGTTTATCAAACCCTCATGAAAAAGATAATATATTTCATTGCAAATTATGAGTTGATTGGCCAACACGAACGGCGTCCAGCTCAATAAAAAGGGAAATAGACTTGCGGATCAGTAATATCACGGTCCGGCTCTTATGTCACTTTGGTAGCGTGTGTTTATATTAAAATGAATAGACTGGCCAACTGTGAGATGTGAAGAAAGTTTTCAATTCAATGTTGGCTTCCACATCATCGTATTGTGGACCACCACAGTGGAGCTGGGTTAGGTTATGGCAGTTGGCCACGTGTCACGACAAAGAGAGTCCCATCATCTTCTGTCGGACCAACACGTGTACCAAAGAATGAGAGGTTGACTTGTACCAAAACTACCATGATTCATATCGTTCCTCGACTGCCCAAAAAAGGCAAAAACTCTCTCTCTCTCTCTCTCTCTCTCTCTCTCTCTCTCTCTCTCTCTCATGATCTGCTAAATATCAAACAAATAGCAGCAAACCATCCTCCTGATTTCTGCATAATTAATTATATAGTCAATTCATTGCTTCTTTCAAGACCTCCCCGTCTTCTTCTATATCTTTCTTAAACATGATTAATTTGGATTATACCAATATAAACAGTAGTATCTTAGAGACAAACCCTGAGAATTATAATTAAGTGAGCATAATTAAACACAGTTTACTTGGCTGAGTGTTGTGTTCTGTCACTCTCACATTGCAGGATGCCACATCAAATAAAGGCATTGCCCCCAAAATCCAAGGCCAAAGCTTGGCTTAAACAAACCCTTTGATTGGTGCAAAGTTGCAAACCACTCTCACATGCATGGACAAAACGTAATTAAACAAAAACCAACTTGTGAGATTGTGCAGTTCGTACAGAATTTTTTACATTGCTTAATTACTACTCGCATGTTGAACAAATCAATGAAGCTATGTGTAGGATGTTCTGTGGTTTATATTCTTAATACACGATTAACACTGCTAAACCGCACCTTAATTATAATCTATGAATGCAAGTGAAATTGTGAAAATATCCAAATATATATTATGTATAATATATGTATCGTCACTGCATTTGTCACACTTCGCCTTACATGCCTAAAAAGTTGCTCAGAATTCGAAAATTTTCTCGAGATGCAAGCAAGGGGGCAAATGCAAAGAGTTTGAAAGAAAATCACTCCCACCAAGATTCAACTTTAATGGAGAAAAGAAAAAGAAGCCATGTGCATCTACTAGATGTCTAGGGTTTAGAATCCCAGCTAAATTAAGCAACCGTAGATTCTGGACTTTCTAATTTTGGAAAGCTATTCACCTTCTCCAACATAAACTAAGGCCTTGTGAGATGTGGAACTCTCTAGGCCAGAAGGCTGGTGCCATCATTGTAATTTGTATTGACCAAGCTCTTCTTTTATTGGATCTTCAATTACATTAATAAAATATAATGTGTCTTGCATTAAGACTAAGCAAATGTTTCATCTTGCAAGAAGGTCCTTAAGGACCTCAGAGCAATCAAAATGCAATATGTCAGTGACATGAAAGTAATAAACTCTGGCCTGTGTCTCTCAGAAACACAGAGAAATCCCTCATTTTTGGCTGTTGATTAGGACCTTGTTGGTCTAGTCTAGCTGTAGTTAGAATTTAATTAATTATAGAGGGTTAAGTGTTTTTTTTGTACAAACGATAATCTAACTTAAACTAATCTAAACTATGGGAAGGGGGATTCGAACTCGGATGCAAAGTGGGGAGCACATCCACTCTAGCCAACTTGACTAAGCCCATATCTGCTCTGCTTGAGGGTAAAGTTTAGATAACTTAAAAAATTAGAGTAAAACAAGTTTCAAGGCCAGCATCCTACTGGCATGCATGCTTATATCAAGCAGTATCAGTTCACACTGAGCTTGTATGGAACCTTTTTCAGTATATTTCATTTGAAATCTTAGTGAAGAATGGACTCAACGGTCTACAACTCTTGAACCACCAAATGGGAAAAGAAAAAAAGGGAAATCTAGCATTCAAGATACTCAAAACCAGTTGGATAACCTTCTGATATAGGCTCTCCAAGTAGTTGGTCCATGCCACAAGAATTTATTAGCTTTCAGGAACAAAACCTTTTCTTGCTTATCCACAGAACCTCCCACTCTTGATATGTTGTGAGCAGTTCTGAAAAATAAAATGTTCTGAAAAATAAAATGTTGTTAGCAGCTACACTCGGATTCAAATCACGAAAGAAAATGGAACTTATCACACACTTGTCATTTTTTGTTGCATCTATTACGTATGTTGTTTGATTGTCAATCTAGATCATACATTCAATCAATGGTTTATATTGGAGTCTCCTAATAACATGTCAGACAATTTAACAAGAAGACATTCCCCTTTTATACATATGTACCCATTGGATACAAATTACCACCTGATGTACAGTGTACTGTGTGATTTCCAGCCTGTGATACTTTACTATATCTAATAGATAAGATCACATATGAGTCTTTTTGGGATATCCAAAAGCAAAAACAAAGAAGAAAATGAGAAAAGAGCGGGATTGATAACACATGAGAGCTAAGAATAAAAAGATTTTTACAAGATAGCAATTGCCTAACTGTCATAAGGGATTGGTACAAAAGTTGTCCTTGCCCTTCTAGACATGGTGTGGGACAATTGAGTGTAAAAAGGCTTCTCGAAGACTTGTAGGTCTGCAAGTTTTCACCAGCTACAATTCGTCATGTTCTGTAACTGCGCTGCCTGTCAAAATAGCAGCATGTGTTTATGACACTTGAGGTTAGCAAGAGAAACTTTTCCTTTTCCCTTCACAAATCAGTTCAGCATTTCATTTAACATATTGAAATAACATTTTTGAGTCTGTAGTTGAGTTGTTAGACCATTTTCTTGTATGGAAACCATTTGTAGGTATGCTGAATTCCAAAGCTAACATCACAATGTAGAAAGATTATACCTGAAGACTTTTCTTTAAAGAAAAATGAGATCTCTCGTTGAGCCGATTGAGGAGAATCTGACCCATGAACACAATTCTTTTGTAAATCCAGCCCATACATGCCTCTGATGCTGGGGAATAAAAAAGGAACTAATCAGGAGGAAATTCAAGGAAATGGATACCAGGTGACGTTGTATGGTAGTATGAAACTATTTGAAAGAAAGAATCAACAAGCAAAAATAATGATTAAATAATGACATAAGACCTGTTAGGATGAGTAATCTTTGCTTTACTCGCATCAGTTGGGCCAATTAAAGCACGCCAATCAGCAACAGCGTTTTCCTTCTCCAAAACCATAATCAATACTGGTCCACTGATAAAAGTAATGAGTTGGAGGGGGAGAGAGAAGGAGAGCATAGTCCCAATATAATGTAACAACATAAAAACATCACAAAAACTACCCCAAATGTGTTGTGAATTGAAGCTCATTCAAGCATCAATAGGATGAGAGCTAGAAAGAAACCCAGGGGAGAATGCTACCCTCATAATATGTCTATCTTCTGATTAAAAGAAGGAAATATTTGCTACAACAGCAGTACATTGTAGGACAAAGGCTTTTAAACAAGCGAGGTAGGCCTCGCAAAAAAGACTTCTAACAATTGAGAACTTGGGGAGAACCTCAACCCTCCAAATAACTAGTTCTATTAAGCTTCAGATAATTCTTGTACATGCATAAATAGCTTATGCATAAGATGCATTTAAATTGCCATCGGTAAAGCACTGAGTGAAAAAAGATGCCTTGTTTTTTTTGATCAGTTGTGACGAAGTGAAGAAAATACATATCTATGCTTATACACAAGTTTTGCACTTTGCAACTTCCATTGGCATGCATTTGTGCATAGGCAAAGCATGCATCTATGATCCATGTGTGTATGGCATAGATGCCAAGATATTAAGAAAGATAAAATTTGACATGTAAAATGCATGTTGTATAGAATAAGAAAGATGTGAAAGCAAAAAAGGAAATTCAATCAAAGAAAAACCATCAAAGATGTACTATGCAGACAAAAAAGTAATTGACATGAAGCTTGCAAAGAGCAACCATCCAAACATATTGGTCCAGAAGTTAGCCAAGGAAACTAAGAATCATTTCCATGAGTTTAATGGATACCTCGTCATGTACTCGACTAGGCTAGAAAAGAAGCTCCTCGAAGAATGCTCGGCATAGAAGCTCATTGCAGCCTCCTCATCAAGTTGAATGAGCATTTCCTTGACGATTGTAAAACCCGAATCAAAGATAGCATTCTTTATTTTATCAGTGCAGTTATCATACAACCCATCTGGCTTTATTATTGCTAATGTTTTTTCCTTCTCTGCAAACCCATCAGACCTATATTTTGTTTGAAACATTAAATACAAGAAGATAGAAGTAGACTTATATTCTGTTTGGTTGTGAGGAAAATGTAACAATAAATGTATGGAAAAGCAAGAAACTTTGCAATTTTGAAATATGCTATCGATATTTATCCGATGTGGGATAGTAATCAAAAGAGAAAGTTGAAGCCTTTGCTTTAATTACCTGCAAGGGATAGACAGAGAGACCACAAGGACGACGATGAAGAGAAAGTTGGAGAGGAACGGAACTCTGGGGAGCATCGCGTAGCAGTAGATTCACTGTAAAAGCAATCAATTTACCAGATTAGCAACAATTAGAAATCGCAGAATCAGATAATTGACTGTTTGCTTGCCCAAATTGCCATGAAGATTGATACTGTACGATCTGAGAGAGAGAGAGAGAGAGAGAGAGAGAGATTACTTTTTCTCGGTAACCAAACAGAAATTAATAATTGAATAGGAAAATAAAAAGATGCGCGGGAAAGGGAAAAAAATGGACAAACCAGAAAATGACAACTTCGAACACGCTGAACTCAAGGCTGAGAGAGTTTCAGTCAACCTTGAACTCAACGCATATTTAGTTCGAATTCATAATTTCTCTTCGACTAAAAAAACTAAAGAGATATTTAGTGATATACCTATTTTTAGCACTAAAATTATAAAAAAACTCTATATCATTTAATTTTTATAAACAAAGAAAAAAAAACCTAAAAAATAATAGTTGGCCCTATTGAATTTAATTTTGATTATTAAATTACTTTGATGCCCTATTGAGTGTTTTGAGTTTTTTTGGAGGTTTTGGGGTTGTGTTTGTTTTAAGAAATTAATAGCAATTTGTAATTTAAAAGAAGTTAAAAGCCTTTTTGTTATGTTGTAAATGAGTTTTGGATGTGTTTCTAAAGTCATTTTATATAGATTTTTTTTTCTTCAATAATTTGGGCTTCTATATTGGGTATAATAGTGAATCTCCCAAAAATAAACTCCAACTAAATTGTGGTGTTACCACTGACAACGTTTATTTTAAAAAGGGTTAATATCACAAAACGTCCCTGAGGTTTACGAAACTATTAGATTGCATCCTTAATGTTTTTTTGTGACATTTGTGGTTCTCAAGGTTCGTATATGTGATCACAAATGGTCGCTGCCGTTAGGTCACATATACGAACCTTGAGGACCACGAATGACACAAAAAAAAATTAATGATGCAATCTGATAGTTTCGTAAACCTTAGAGACATTTTGTGATATTACACCTTTTTAAAATACTCAAGGTTTTATTAATGAGAAAAATAATAATAAAATTGGAATTAGATTTTGGCTTTTATCGAATAGTTCCATTGGATATGAATTGATGACATATTTACTAATTTGTAATTGAAATTGGAGGAATTCAACGTGTCTTGCACTACATTTTAGTATTTACCTATTTTTCCAATGATAATTTAAATATATAAAAAACACTCTTAATGGAGCAATTCAAATGAGAAAATATATTATACATTGAAAATACAACACAAGGTTATATATACAAACATTGGATTCTTGTTTGTGCCTTACTGTTTTCAGTTACATTTCATCCTGCAAATAATTCAAAGCAACAATTGATGCACTCAAAACAAGCAAGGGCAGCGCAGACTTGTGTGAGAAGAATTGCACACTGGTTGTTCATGTGTGAACAAGTCCTAATGAAACACATGCAACAGACGCGATCAAGTACTTGGCTACAGCAGTTGGAAGCAGCATTAAACAAGAGCTCTGTTGGATCAGCTGGCTTTACTTCTTCGCTTGCCGGTGCTTTATTCTCAACCGTTGCCTTCAAGTTACCGAACCCAACACCCAGGTTTCCGAGGACTATGACCTTCTGGCGATTTGACTCCGTCTTGTTCAGCTGGGTAAATTTGCTGTAGACCTACTTGGAAGTAGGAACAATGTGATTACGTTTTGTTGTTGCTAAGCAATAAGATATTACTTTTTTGATCAATTTGGGGAAGGGGCATTCGATCTTGAAATTAGACCAATAGATAGTTGGTCAATAAGAGATTACTTAGATTTGATGTGAGAGCTAACTGGTAAAAGGACCTAGAAAATTACAAGGAATGGGTGGCTAGCTAAGATTTCAAAGACATGGGAAGAGCTGAAGATGCATACCCCTTGTATCGTAATGGATTCCGGCACTCTCTTCCCGTTATCAGTCTGCGGACTCTGCACTAGTATCATGCAAGTGTACTCAGATGGGACCCCGGTTTGTTTGCTCATTTTGGAAACCTACAGCCAAAGCAGGTTGGACAATTGTGATTGATGTCAAATGAATACAGAAGTCAGGACTCGGCTACAAAAATATGAACATCATCATTGGCGTTAACACTCAATAATGCATCTACCAAATGACCGTTAAACTATATTCAGAGATAACATGAAATTTGAATAGGAAAACAATGAGGGTTATGGTCTTTGCTTAGCAACGAACCTTCTCTTCCAGCTCTTTACTTCCCAATAACCATGCATGAGCTGTAAGCATGTCAATGTGCCTTCTTGCAAGCACCTGTTCCAGAAAAAAAAACAGGTAAGTTCACTGATTTGAAGAGAAAAGAAGGAGAAAAAAAATGGTAAGTTCACTAATATCAATAGTACGTGCAGGGAAGGGCAGCAAATTATTGAATACTATGGTTCTATACAACATTTTTCAATTTCATATCACATATAAGGTACAAGGTCGGTACCTGATCAAGTGGAAATTCCTTAGTTCTTTGTACTTTCAAGTCTATGACAAAATTACTCATATCAGCCAAGGTACCACGAACTTTGATGGAGTCGGGAAAGCTTCCCTCATATCTGCCTGATATGATCAATGGACTTCCAGATGAAAGGTCTGGGATATGAGATGGAAACAGCTGCAAGGAGGAACAAAGAAGAAGTACAACGTACCACTATACAATTAGAAATTGGAATATACAATTTTTATTAATAAAAGAAACAAATAGGAATATACAAAGTCCTCCAAGTAAAATAGACACTAATATCAATAATCCTCAAAAGATAAACATGGAACACAAAATTTCAGCCAAGGTCCAAATCTAGCATACCTCAAGCGAATCGAGACATTCTAAAGTGTCGATGGTTATATTGGCAAGAATCACTGATGAAGCACTTGTGAATAGCCTTTGCATTTTATAGTCAATTGAATCTGGAAAAATAAAATGAATCATATAATAAGAGATCCCTATTTCAACAGTAAATAACAAATTTGCAGACTGAAAATGACTTTATTTAGCATTTAGTTTGTCTGTGACAACAATCAGTACTTACAAAAGAAAAATTACGTAATTTTGTATAGATGACTTGTTATCACGGTGAACGATGATGAAATCACAGTAAAATAAAGGGGGAACGAAACTAACCTGCATCATAAGCAGCATCATAGTAACCCTTCCCAATTTGGGCTAGCATTTGCAGGAAGTAATGATTACAATATAAACCTGGCAAGAAATTTCAGAAACATTAAATTCTAAAACTCTAAAATAAAGGTGGTAAGAAGATTTGTCAATATTACAGCAGTTATTGAAACAGCTAAAGGAATCTTTACCTATGCCAAAAGTAGATATGCAAGGACAAACCGAACCAGCACTTGTAAGGTAACCTTTCATAATAGTGCAAATCTCCCTTTCATCTTCAACAGCACCATCAGTAATGAGGAAAATGAAAGGAATTGAATCACTGGTTTTGGCCAACAACTGCATAGCCTAAAGTAAACCAGATCACAGGATACAAAATCAGATACTATTCGAAGAGTGTGTGTGTGTGCACTGTTGAATATTGGACATGTAAAACTCAACATGTTATGCATGGCATATAGTGAGTACAGAGATGAAAAACGAAAGCTCAACAGAAATATAAAGATCTCTGATTTTCATTATAACCAATTAAAGATTATTGTTTTAACTCAAACAGACAAATCATTTGAATACAAATGATTGGTCAGTGGTCACTAGGAAGAGGTGTTAGCATACCTGTTTGAGGGGAAGCAAGATATTTGTACCACCATTTGCAGTAAGATTAGTGCTAGCCCACTCCTTAGCTTTTAGCATTGCTTCATTTGTTGCCAGCTCCATTGATGATGAGAATAAGTGAACCTCTCCATTGAAAGCTATAATGTTGAAAGTATCATCTCGGTTGAGATTAGAGAGTGACGCCAAAAGTGCATTCTTTGCATTTTCAAGAGGGTCTCCCAGCATGCTTCCACTTATATCAATAATAAATATAACTTCCTTTTTGAAAACCTATATAAAATTAAAACCAGGATTACACATTTGCGAAAAAAGACTGCAAAGCCTCTGTTCAAAAATCAAAAAGGGTTTGGGACTCTGGGGCAAGATATTTAACAAAATGGAACTGGCAATTTGACCATCTTTTAGGAGTGACAATGCCAATAAAGACTCAATGTAACATGATCAAGATGCATTCCTCCCCCGCATATTCACCCGTGGACTCACTCTTGCCCTTCCCTCCCACCCTCCCTTTAACATATGTTGGGATTTCCTCTGTTTTCTTAAGCAATGAATAGGTAGTATATTAGAGCTAACGAACCTTCCTAGTCTGGCTATTTCCGGGGAATAGATAGAAGCAAAACATCTCTCTATCATCAAAATCACGAAGCGATGGGGATTGCAAAAGCATACCACCAAATAAGTCACTTGAACAAACCTGTAAATACAGCCACCAACAGAGATTAATTACACAAGTATCATTACTGCTTTATGACCATCATTTTCCCAAAACACTATTCATAAATGGTGAATATTTAAAGATCCATTCACAACACAAACAAAAATTCAAAGTCTTACAGAGTATGAAAAGCTGAAGCCTGCACTTGACCATGATGATACCTCTGCTTCATATGAAAAACTCAATCTACCACTTTGGCGCCTAACTTCCTGGAAATAATAAATCAATATCAGTTCAAGTGTATCCAAGACCTACGTGGGACTTACGAAAATGATTTACCTTAAGAGGATGGCTGGTACTTTGGCATAAAACTTCTGCGTCAATACCCGTATTCACATTCAACAAAATCTTTTCTCCTTTCAAAATTTTTTTGGCCACCGGATTGACACATGCTGGAAAACTAAAAGGTATACTGAGGGAAAACTGGCCAGCGTGATACAACAATTTCTGAGACCATCGAATTTTGAATGAAAGGAAGGAGCCCCCGTAAACCTGAAATATACGATATATTGTAAGAAAAAAAAAGTTACAAAAGTCACTGCTGGTCACCGCAAGTTGAAATCTAACCTGTGGGACTTTTAGGGTGTATATCTGGCGTTTCAGAAAGTACCCATCTTTGGCCACTTTCTCCTTATCTGTTGTGTCTTCTGCTGTGATTAGTTGAGTACTATATGATCTTCCGGTAATTTCAGCCTCAACACCTAGAAGTGAACCCTGTTAGCCACATGATGTTTTTCTTGAGAATTTAAAAAATATAGCTTCATCCCTCAGAGGAAAAGTAAATTCACAAACATCTATATAGCATGAAATAACCAACCAATCTTTCTAATATTAACAAGACAATTAGAAATTTACCATGTACCATATATTCTACTCGTATCTCATTCCAATTCCAATTACTAATCTCTTCTTAATTTGGATTAACTATTAGCACAGCCCATCACTTTCTCTTCAACATCAATGAAACTACAACACTCTTCATCAATTCACTCTTTTTTTTATGGACCAAATAAATACATAGTTTTTAGTTCTATACAATCCAATTCGTCAAGAAAACTCTTACTACCTTATCGCCCAACGGCACCGCGACGCGACAATCGCACCTCTTTCCCGCGGCAACACAATGCACGCGCCACGTGCCGCTCACAGTAACGAACGCAGTGTCCAAATAGCTCTCGATTTCCATAGCTATCCCATGCATATGCAGAGGTATCAAAGCCGGCGGCTCACACATGCCGTGAACGTACGGCTGGTAGCTCGGAATGTCCGGATTATCCACGATTGACGGGTCGGGTACGACCGCGTACACCATCGGAGCCTCCGGCAAGTACGACTCCGAAGACCTGGTCATCGCCGACGGGTCTGGAACCGACTCTTTGCCGTAGAACACCCGCTTCGAGAGCCCGAGGCCGTACTCGACACATCTGGAGAACTCGGCGGCCATATCGCCGGCGGAGGTTTTCCGGCGACGGTGATGTCCTTGCAGCTAGAGGTGGTGATGGTTTTGAAGGGGATGTGTGTGAGAGAGGAAGGCGAAGGCCATTTTAAATAGCTGAGGCCTTTTGGCTTTTGAACGGCAGTTAGAAGAAGAAGAGAGTGAAGGCGAAGAGGGACGAACGCAGAGCTGGAGGGAAAATTAATTTTTTATTAACTGTGAAATTAATGGATTATTTAATGGTGAAATGACGAATGGGCTGATGCCACGTGGTGGAATTATCTCTGGCAGAGCTTTTCACCTGATAAAGACAAATTCGAAGGGGACAGGTCATTTACGAGGAGGGTGGGAAAATGTGCGGCGACGTTCGATGAGGAAGTCCTGTGCTCCCTACCGGGACCCTACCTACGATGCAGCCAGGGAGCCAGCCAACCACTGCCAACTGTATAATACTTTTATTTATTTATGAACAACTGGGTAATAATTTCAATATTTTCAGGAAGACTTTGAAAAAGACCAAAAGAGAGAGAAAATTTTTTAAAGAAACCAAAATGAACAAAATTGCCCTTATTTATTTTTGAATTTTCTAAGGAATCATTTACATTTGCATGTCTTTGGTTTGAAAGTTGAGAGATTTTTCTGTCTTTTTTAAAAAAGTTTTGGTTTTTTCCAAAACTAAACTTTTTTTTGTAACTAAAACCTAAATATACTTTGTTGGGTAAAAGGTAATTACTTTCTTAAAACTTTTTTTGTTGTGACCAATGGAAAATGACATTGACTTATACACCAGTAGTTTCATGTTCGAATTTCATGACACTTTGACTCATTTACTGATGAGCCTAACTTAAGAGCATTTTTAAATGACAAGGAAAATGGGAAAGAAACTCACTCTGCCCGCATCAATTTTTAGCCCCTCGAATGAATTAGGTTAAAAGTAAGGCAACCGTAAAACATGACATATATGTAGATTATTAATAAAGTGATTTGTTCTAACCATTTCACGCATCGTTCAAAATAATAAACTTTTGATGAGGTAAATGTTACAGGGCAAAGTGTCACATAGACTATCAAATCAAATGACACAATTTACCTAAATATCACAATTGTAACTTGTAACGTAATTTGGGGAGACAAATTGATATTGTGGTGCCCCATCAATCACCTTTTTTTTTAATAGTTCCAAAGAGCAGATTTGAAGATTCTTGGTGACGATGATATTTAAAAGTGAATGACTTTTGGGGAAGACTTGAATTTTAAATGATGTTTTAAGTAAGGTGATTGTGGAATTGGAGAGAATTGTTTAGATAGAGGCCTTGAGCTTCTTTGCCTTACATGAAAGGGAAGCATGTTTGTGGTGGAGATTAATGCCTTAGTTAGTTAGAAAGGGGATACCTACCTTTGATTCTATGCTATTTTGTTATGCACTTGAACTCTTGCCATTAACATAAAATAAAATAAAGATATTAGTTTATATGAAAATGGAAAAATGTGTTGATTAGACTAAACTTATTAAATGGGAGCCACCAACCAATTATTATTATTTTTAATTTTTGCTTTTAAAATTATGTAAAATTAAAAACCATTGTGGATTTGTAGTGGGATTAAATTATTAATTCTTCAACCCAACAAACTTAACCATGACTAAAAACTTGTCAAAAGCTTCTTCTCTCTTGATCATTTTTATATGCTTATTCATCCATTTCATTTTTTATATATAAAAAAATTTGTATGTGTGAATCACACATTAAAGAATAATCATATAATACATATGGTTAGGAAAACGTCAAAAGTCTCACGTTTAAAATATGAAAAAGGACCACATTTTATGTTCATCTTCAAGTCTTCAACAATGACAGACACTTGCTAGAAGAAAAAATATCAGCAGGTAGTGTTCTCAAATTTGAACTCTATAACATCTTAGTGTTCGTTTGACATTGCTTATTTGGGGTGATAAGTAATTTTTTAATTTTTTTGGAAAGCCCAGCCTGCTTGGTAAACTATTAGAAAATTACTTATTGTTAAAAAAATGTTGTGAGAGAAAGCTATAAGGAAAAACAACTAATGAGGTGTTTTCATTTTTTGATTATGATGGAATCAGTTTGAAAGAGGCATTGGGTTTAATGAAATTTACACTTTCGAAAATATCCAACTCTCTGTCACGCAATTCTCCTTATCTTGAATCTCTTATATTCTTCCTACTATTTTTTCTTGCTGAATCAATTGAAGTACACTCTTGAAAAGCCACAAGACTCAGGTAGGAGTCATATTATATTTATTTATTCTCTCATTCTTCTCTCTTTCTCTTTAATTTATAGGGTTTTAACTATAAATTTTATTCTTCACTTTCTCTTTAATTTCTAGGGTTTTAACTTCAACAGTTGTTGTTGTTGGTTTTTATTTTTTATTTTTTTGTTAATGTTCTTGTTTTCTTTGACATAATATTTATTTTTAATGGAATATATTGGATTTAATTTGAAACATTAATTCAAAGCATTTGGATACAAATATTTAATTTTCAACACAATTCTTTATTTATTTTATAATTAAAATAATATGTAGGGTGTGATGGAAACATATTTAATACCAAAAAAAAAAGTGAAAGTGAAAGTGAAAGTTTTTTCCCTTTTATCAATCACGTTAATAGAAAAGTTTACTAAACATTAAACTGCTTTATTTGACAATTAATTTTTTTCATAGCACAATAATGCAAAACTGGCCCTTAATAATGTATTTAATTTAGACTATTGTTTGTATTAAAAAATAATAATAATAATAAACATTCCCAACATAACCGCTAATTAAGGAGGGTGATTATTACTTGACAAGTTGCTTTTTAGTCTTTGAGTGGAAGACCTCAATATTTGTCTGCCACGTTTGCTCAAATAAATGCAGCTACTAATCATGTACGAAGAGGACCACAAGAGGACCACTGTGGTCCTCCTCCATATGGCCTACTATGTGGTCCTCCTCCATATGGCCTACTATGTGGTCCATCACTTGGAAATTTTGCCAAGATAAACATGTGTGAAATGACTTTGTCTTTAATTCACCGTTGGATAGTTGTGGAGATTCGTGACCTGAAATTACAATTTTAGGACTTGTCATCACTCATGATTTTATCAAAACGTGGGCCAGGCCATTTGAGACCTTTTGCTGTTGATTTGAGAGCAAGTCGTAAAGGCTAAAAGGCAATTTCCAAATTTGCTTTGAGGATCGAATTTTGGACCGACAGTTTTACAATGTGACTCTTTTTAAATAAATTTTTTTTGCGGAGGGAAAATGTGGCGTTGACTAGAGAGGATAACCACAAGTGATGAGACCAATTAGATTAAAGCAAGTAGCTTTCTATATTTTGGTACATGAACAGATGCGACATGAATGACATTTTATCAACCAGAATTTAATGTCTTGGACATTTGGATACCAAAGCCGAAAGAAAGAAAGACCTTGCAATGACTTTTAGAAGTAGTTAAGAGAATTTACCCTTATATTATGGGTTCTATATTCGATTTCCCCTTCCTCAATATCGCTTGTATTAAAAGAAATAGACCGAGTCACACAGAACAAAGGATTATGAATTTACCAATACTTAACATAAGATGTTAGGCTAATTATATAATGACCGCAAAGCTGAAGAGAGAAGATAAATGCATTTGAATATTTATAAAAGATTTGCGGCAAACTACATAAACAATTGTCAATATTGCATTTCACTTCCAGAAAAATCTTGAGGATGCGTTACAAGAATTGGGCCAAATGAAGCCCTAATTCAATGACTAAAACAGGATGCAAATAGTACCAAGTTCAACTCAATTGGCCAAACAATTTTTGTAACATTATTGTTTTATGAACATGATACATATTATAAAGCTTATTTGCTGATCAAAGTGCTCCACAACATACTAATAACTGATATTCGGATAGCAAAGCCACAAGTCTAAGGACCCGGATGAATCAGGCAAAAAGAATACAATACTTGCAAGAGTCTGAAATCACAATTATACCATCAATGGGATTAAACTTTCACTGTTGTCACCTGCTTCAGAAGCATTTGCACAACATCACTTGAAATCCTTGAGGCCTCGGAAGAGAGGTGATTGATCTTGTGCTCAGTTTCATGTTCAAGACGCTTCACATTAGCCCCTGAATCTCCACTGCTCTGCTGGGTGGCCATATGAAAACATGGGGGCAAAATGCCAGAATTAACACAGTTGTGTCCACAACAAAAGTCAAGGGGCAGGTTCAGATATTAAAAAACAATGGGGGATAAACTTATAGTTGGTATACTCATTTTCTAGAAATTGTAAGGCACACATGAAAATGACATGGGCAAGCCATTGGAAAACTGAGAATGCCAGACCTAATGAACATTCAATGCATAGCTTTCACTAACATCTACATACCGCTGCAAATTTCTTCTGGAACTGAAGCTCCACTTGGGAACGGGATTCAGCAATCTCCCTTTCAGCCTCATCTTTGGCTTGTTTCAGTCTAGCCATTTTTGCTACAAGCAGAAAACCAACCACCAAAGCAATTAGAAGAAAACTCAAAATGCTAAATTATGGTGTAAAATCTAAAACCCTTTAAAAGAGTACATTAGGACTGCACATTTCATACATGATTTCACCTAAATAACGGTCTTGATCCATATTTTGACAACACCATATGTTAGACTGTCCACAAGAGAAAATTACACTATATATAAAATCATGGACAAAAGAACATCCCTTCCAATAGGGAAGTTGGAGGCATGACGCTTCTCCAATTAAAAGCAAGAATTCATACTTCAACACAACTTCGCAAGAGGCCAATTCATAAACAATGCAACATAGTCCCTTTTGTTTGCAAAATGCAAACCCAGAAATTCATGCATCAAGTTAGTGAACAAGTGCAGAAACAAACAGATAATAGATTCATATAAAAAATACCCTAATCAAAAAGTAAATCTAAAAGGAGAAAAAATACCACTTCTGGCAGCATTGACAATGTGTTGAGCTTCTTGCTCTGCAGTCAGCAATTGTTGAATTCCACCTTGACCCCTGTTGGATGCCATACTTTCTGGAAGGAAAAAAAAACAGACACCGATTCAAATTAGGCATCCTATAACATAATGTACCCATATATCATGCATCCTCAAAACTGAACAGAAACAGACTTTCCAAGCATACAGATTATACAATTCCAGAAACAGAGATTCAAACAATAGACCCTTCAATCCAGAAACCCTAGAAATCAAGCAAACCCCTTCAATCCAGAAAACATATGTAGATCGATGAAACAAAACAGAAACTCAGATACATTCACAGATCTCTAACATAAATCAGATAAAGACCCAAAAAAATGAGCTGAAAACTGAGAAGGGGCCCACGAGTTTACCTGAGAAGGTGGTCGACGGCACCGGCGCAAGAGGGCTCACCGGAGAAGAGAAAGATTGGAGTTCGACTGAGAAGAGAAACAGAGAGGGCAGCGATGAAAGAGTGTTATTCACCGTTGGATGGTTGGGCAGATTCGTGAGATGAAACTCCGGTTATGATTTGCCATGATTTTAAACGTGGGCCAAACCATTGGGCCCAGCCCACCTTGAGATCCATAAATCAAACCCGAAGGCCGAACCTGACCCGCCAAATCCAACGACGTCGGATTAGAGAATCAGATTTTTAGCTTTCAGCTAGCTTGGGAAAAAAGCTTTCGTTTTTCCTCTTCTAATAAATCCATCGCAGTAGCCCACTATGGTCTGATTCTGATATACACAAAGGTAGAAGGAAACCCAGAAAGCCCTAAGCAGAGAAGAAGAGGCAGAAGCTCAGAAATCGAAGCATTTAAAACATGAGTCGTGGAAGTGGAGGCGGATACGATCGTCACATCACGATTTTCTCGCCCGAAGGCCGTCTATTTCAAGTCGGTAAGTGACAATATCCCAATACCTCCATTGATGTTTCTCCAGTCTCAATCTCGAACAGCGCCTCAAAGAGAGCTGATTTGTGGGTTTTGGGTATTTTAGGGTTTTATGGGTCAATGAGATTAAAGCCCATTTCAATTTTTGTTTGTTTGTTTTGTTTTAATGATGAAATCTGAGGAGAAGAGGGGAAAAATCACGATTATGAATCTCGTTCTGTCTAATACAAGTTGAAAGGAAAAAGGAGAAAATCGAATGATTAATTTGTTTGTATTAGTTTCACTTTGGTGTGTAATACTAGCGAGCTCAATTACATATCAGTAAAATTAAGTTGCTCAATTTATCCAGATTTATGGTTTCTCGGGCTCATGGGCTGAAAGCCCACTTAATTTCGATGGTTGATTTGATCCCTTGTTTGGATGCCGAGATTTCTGAGGGAAATAGCAGAAATTACAAATTTAAATATCATTTTTCATATTACCAAAACAAAATGTGTAAAAAAAGAAGAAAAGAATTTCAGATTGGAATGGGGTGTAAAAATAGAATATGTTTTTGTGTTAATGTTGAGTAGCACATAAGGGCTCTTCTGTTCTGAATTCGCTTTTTTTTTATGATTGATAGAGTATGCATTTAAGGCTGTTAAGGCTGCTGGGATCACCTCAATTGGTGTCCGGGGAAAGGATTCTGTATGTGTTGTGACTCAGAAGAAAGTCCCGGTGAGTAGTATTGGTTGATTTAACTGAGTCTTAACTTTAGTATGGATGGAATTTGTGCGGGTTATAAATAAATTGTGAAATTAATGCAGGACAAGCTTTTGGATCAGACAAGTGTCACACATCTTTTCCCCATCACAAAGTTCCTAGGGTTGCTGGCTACTGGCATGACAGGTTTCTTTTTTGCTCCTTCTGGAAGCTTATTGGAAGTGCTAACTCAAACAGTTCATTTGACAAATTTAGATACTTATGTGCTTTTGTTGTTCACAAGCTCACATTTGGTTCATTCTTTTGGCATGTAATTTTCTAGCTGATGCAAGGACCCTAGTTCAGCAAGCAAGGAATGAAGCAGCTGAGTTTCGATTCAAATATGGATACGAGATGCCAGTAGACGTACTGGCTAGATGGTAATTACTTTAACTGTTTATACCATATTATGTTACTCTATAATACAACTGAACTTTTAGCTTGCAGTTTTAGAGTACTCCTATGATGTATTATGTTTAAAGTTAAAAGTGTTTAATTGCATCCCATTTATGTTGTGCACTTGTTGAGGCTTTTTTATTTTGGGCCAGTGCAGTTGCTGATTTTAACTGCTCAAAAAGATTTTTCAACCCTTCCCCTTATTTGGATATGTAGAATGATGGACTCCATAATGGGATGACATGGTCCCATGGAATCTTGGACTTGTGTAGTGATAATTTTAAATGACTCCTCTCTCTCTCTCTCTCTCTCTCTGTGGGAACTGAAGACAATTTCTTTTATCTTTCAAGAGAGCAAAACAAAATTGAATGGGCTTGTTTCCACCCCCCTCCATAGAAGTCATTTTACACAGGGGTAAATTTGACTTTAAATTTTTGAAGATAAGGTGGGTGGGAAAATAGCAGCACCCTACTAAATTTTAATTTTGTCAATTTAGTAACTGTATTAGGATTCGGTATGATTTGATTCAATTTAGATCAAAAGAGCATACTAAATTTGTGTAATATTACGGTTCGAATTATACACTTTATACTTATACTAGAAGTATAATCAAATCAAGCCAACCTATTTAGTAACTGATTTGATTCAGTCATTTGATTAAACAATCAATTGTAGTTCCTCTAGTACATGTCAAATAGAAATTCATGTTGTATTCTTTGACATAGATTGAACCGAATTAAATCAAACAATTGTGATTTGGTTTGATTCAATCTAAGATCATATTTTTTGGTGTAAAACGAATTGAACCACTCAAGTTGATTTGGTTTGCCTGATTTAAATGGTTCAAATGGTTTTTTGTTCACCTTAATATCATTTGTATGACAGGATTGCAGACAAATCACAAATCTATACTCAACATGCTTATATGAGACCACTTGGAGTAGGTTTGTTTCTACTCCTTTCTACAGCAGTGAATAACCTTTTCTTCTTGCAAAGAACTACATCATGCGACAATTTTTGCTTGATTAATTTGTGTTTGCATATTTACTGATCCTTTCCATTTATGTTTGGTTCTGAAGTTGCTATGGTTTTGGGTATTGATGAAGAGTTCGGACCTCAACTCTATAAGTGTGACCCAGCTGGCCATTACTTTGGTCACAAGGTATATTTCTGCTTGTGTAACTTATTATGAAGAACTCAAAATACACAATATCACTGAAAAACCTTCCCACACTTGTTTACAACTTTCATCTGGGCATCAACCATTATTTTACTCATCAACAGACACTCATGCAGTTTTCTTTCATCCCTCTTTAGAGCGCGTTTTTCCATTTATAAAACCACTTAAGGTTAACTTGCAGCACTACAATATGTGGATCGGTTCAACAAAGAATGAAAAGTGTGTTCGTCTTGAGACATCACTATGAGCTCTACTCTGCCATAGTGCTATATCTATCTTTGTTAGAGCATCAATGTATGGTGCTTGTTCTCACTGATCAACTATTATGCATCTTAGGCCACAAGTGCTGGATTGAAAGAACAAGAGGCAATCAATTTCTTGGAGAAGAAAATGAAGAATGATCCATTATTTACCTATGACGAGACTGTGCAGGTAGACATTTCTTATCCTTTGATTAATATAAAGCTGTGATCTTGAGTCAATTTGTTAAACAGGTTCATAAGATATTATGCACGTTTGTGAATTAACTTTTAGACTAAATTTCTTTCTGGAGATTTTAGTGGCTGTTAAATAATGAATTATGATTATGTTAGACTTGTGAACATAGGAATGTTAATACGCTCGTTTGATTTCTTCTCTGACCTCCCACGTATCTTTTATTGTTAGACTGCAATTTCTGCCCTGCAATCAGTTCTGCAAGAGGATTTCAAGGCCAATGAAATTGAGGTATTTGAAACCCCCTTTCAGTGAAATTTTATACTGTTTTGTGATGGGAACTCTTAATGCATTGTTCGGGGCATATTGTTCATAAACTTTTTATTGCTTGTATGATGTGACAGTATCTGATTTCCACATAGGTTTTACCATGTCTCAAAATTGCTTTCCACAGTTGCTTTCCATATCCTATGTTTTATGCTTTTATATCTCAAATTGCAGCAGTAATGACTTTCATCAGATAAAATTTATGTTAATTTTCCATTATCATTTGTTAGGTTGGAGTGGTGGTAAAGGAGAATCCTGTCTTTAGAGTGTTGTCGACCGACGAGATTGATGAGCACTTGACTGCTATAAGCGAGCGAGACTGAGTCCTTGGGAAAGCTGATACTGTCTGGGGCAATGTTTGGATTTGATAAAATGCTGGACATTTTTCTATCCCTTTTGGAGTATCAGACGTTAACTTAAATCCTTTAGCAAGTGCTTATGCAATTTGGCCGGGACGTTTACTCCACCTTCTGTAACTTTTGTTAGTTGAAGTTGCTGTTGTTGAACTGTTGAATGATTGTCAACTTAATATGTTTTCATGATTTGTATCCTTTTCCAGAATTAGTAGTTGAGTTGATAAACTTGAAACCTCAAAATTCCCTTGGTCTCTTCTGTGTTCTTTGGATGTTGATATGAGGGAAGGATCTCTACTTTTGGACACTATCCCATGTCCCAAAAAGAAATTTAAAAAAAAAGAAGGAAAATTATAACATAGTTCATGGCTAACTTGACCACTCAGAATCCACACCTTATCCATATTTACCATTACTTAAATTAGATTAGATTGGGTGTTCTTTTCATGTCCCAAAGAAAAATACCAAGGCTTCTTACTAATAAAGAGCTATTATTCACAAATCACTGTTATGTTAATTTTCCTAAATTGTTTTGAAGTCTGAAGTTTATTTTGACATTAGTGGTTGAAGTAGAACACTCTATTTTATAATTTCTTAACATAGATTAATATTACAGAGTAAATTCTCTAAGGATGTTATAACCATACCTGAGTAATTATTTGCATTAGAATTTTAAAATCGCGTTGTATTTCTAGTGATGTTAAACATTCCCATTATCTTTTTTATTTATACAAATTTATAAATAAACCCAATTCTAGACATGTATTTATAAAAAAACCCAAATACTATTTAAACATAGAAACACACCCAAAATCAACCCCAAAGTCAACAATTGTATATTTTTTGGGTGTATTTATAAATGGGTTTTGAGTGTGTGTAATGATGGGTTTTGGGTGTGTTTATAAAGTGTTTTGGGGGTTGGGTTTTTTTATAATTTCAGCCCCCATTTTGAGTGTTTTAGTGAAACTCCCTTTTATTTATTTATATATTATACAAGTGATATTGGGAAATGAGGAATCGAATATAGGACCTCGGATAAATGAGTAAATGTTCTTACTACTTAAGCTACAAAGTCAAACTCCTTACCCCCACTGACCAATTTTCAATAGGTGAGCATGAAAACTTTAGAATTAATTTATCATCATATTCTAGCAAAATAAAGAAATTCTTTTTGGTAAATTCATTTTCTTCTACTTGAGAGAAAACGTAGAAGCCAGCGTGTGCGGATCTGCGGCTGCCTGCAGATCTCCACCTGATCATCTGATTCATTCGCGCGGACCATCTCAGTTGAGGTCGGTTTCTACTTGCCACATCCCTCCCACTCAGCCTCTTTCCCTGCCAGCCACGTGTCCCCCTCGCCCCAACCCCTACAAAACTACGTCGTTGCCTGGGCGTTTTGCTTCAAAACTGCGCAAAAGCTCTCTCGAGTCTTTCACAAACAAAAAGGAAAACCGAAGAATAATCGGGGTCTCGTTCTCTTTGTCACAGAGAATAATCTTTTTGATGCCTTACAGACGAAGAGATATTAGTTCCCAATAATTTACGCCAAAATCGATCTCTTCAGGTATGCTTTCGCTTCCTCTTCCTCATAGCATCAAATCTTCCTGCTCTCGCAAATGTCTCGCAAATTTCGGATTTTTAGGGGTTTTCCGTTAACCCAATTTATCAATTTAATCAGGTTCGGTGCAATTTTTTGCCTCTTAACGTTTTTCTTTTCCGGTTCTGTATACTTTTCTTGAGGAAAAACATTGATCTTTGGGTAATTAAGCGAAAATTCGGTGCAAAAGCACAAGAAAGTAATGCAATTTTGATTTATTTGGTGTTTTTAGCTTGAGAGTTTGAGTAAAAAACGAGTCTTGCTTATATATTTGTTAATTGCTGTTTGGATTTCAATATTTATAGGGATAGTAAGCTAATGGCAACTGCAACTATGGCCACCGCAGCCGGTGCAGCTGCCTTGTTGTATTATACATTGAACCGTAAGTTACAGTCCCCCACAACTGGCGGTGATGATGACGAAAATGGGGATGATAGTGTGCCAAATCAGGCTCCTTTGGGAATTGAACGGGTTTCGCATAGGTTAATTCAAGCCCCGGCTACATGGTTGGAGACCATCTCGACCTTGTCAGAGACTCTTAGGTTTACTTACTCCGAGACTTTGGGGAAGTGGCCTATAGGGGATTTGGCATTTGGAATCAACTTTCTTCTGAAGAGGCAGGTAAAATGCTTTCATGGCCATCGTTTCGTTACTGTGCTGAATTCAGTGTTTGCTTAGATTTCATGTTTATTGCTTGTGGGGTTCTCTGTTAATGTGCTGAATTCAGTGGTTATGTTGATTTCATGATTACCGTTGTGGGTTCTGCACTACTTTGTTGGTCTTTTTCATGAATATAGATGGTTATTGCATTTGCACAACTCATTTACATATATCTATTTTCTGAATATAATACTCAATCTAGAGAAGGAAAAAAAGGTGGTTGATTTATGAAAAGCTTCATTCTAACCGAGAGTTAGAAATAGAATTGGTGAAAAATGTGACTTTATATTTTGCAGCTTTAAAAATCATTACTCCATTCTTCTTTAGGATATTAATGACAGTGAAACTGGCATTTTTGAGTTTTGCCAATCTGGAGATGACAGATTTTATTGTTTGTTCCAAATTGTTAAATTAATTTTTCATGTTTATACCAGGCGAATGATTTTATTTTATTTTATTTTTTTGGTTTGGATGAATGATATTTGATACTATACTGTCTGTACTTTGCAGGGAAACTTGAATGTTGATGGTGTATTTGGTGGAATAGACAGTCAACAGCTAAAAGGATCTCAAATAATTGCTGAACTCAAATACCTCTTAAACTTGCTGACACTGTGTTGGCATTTTTCAAAGAAACCTTTTCCTTTGTTTTTAGAGGAGACGGGCTATTCCGAAGAGAATGTTCTTCTTCAGGAACCCAAGGCAGGAGTAAGTATGTTAATGTAAATAGTTTTACTGTTGTACTGATTGTTTGTCAGTGCCTTTATCCGTGATTTTACTGTCAACGGTATTGGAAAATAGTTGAGCCGTATCTATCCATTAATATAAAATCGTCTATATACTTTCTGCTGCAGATCTTGAAGCCTGCTTTTACAATTCTTGTTGATCATAATGAAAAATGTTTTCTCTTGCTGATTCGTGGAACCCATAGTATTAAGGACACTCTGACGGCTGCAACGGGAGCTGTTGTACCATTCCATCACAGTGTTGTACATGAGGGAGGAGTCAGTAATTTAGTTTTGGGTTATGCGCATTGTGGAATGGTTGCGGCTGCTAGATGGATTGCTAAGCTTGCGAAACCCTGCCTTCTAGAAGCACTTGACCAATATCCTGGTTATGAACTTAAGGTAATGGTATTGATGGGATGTTCTTTCTGCTACTACTCATCTTAACAAATCAATTAGTAGACAGTTTATGAAGATAATTAATTGACTACTTAATTTCTTGTTTTCATATACAATACTGTTCTTTTTATTTCTTATCTTTGTGTCAAGATATCTTTTGTGTGATGTAGTAGTTTCTAGAAAGTATACTTTTGTAGGAGTCTTCTTGGTTCTTAAACTTTTCAGTATCAGATATTTTCTTGGCATCTGTAATCTGTGTCCCTGTAGCAGCCTTGCTGATGCAGATCTCGGTGGAGAATTTGTTGATTGGTTGATTAGTTATTTTCAGCAGTCTTCTACTGTTAACTGTATCATTCTTTTTCGTCCAAAAAAAAAAAAACTGTATCATTCTTTACGTAAATTATATATACCATATGACCAGCTACTGTTCTTTCTTGGAACTTGATTGAACTTACTATCGTTGTCTCTTCTTAATCGCTTTGGTGGCTTCCAACAATATTATAGTCCATAAGATTAAGAAATTTATCAAAAGTAATGGTTTCTGACAGATTGTAGGGCATTCTTTGGGTGGAGGCACAGCAGCACTTCTAACATATATATTGCGAGAGCAGAAAGAACTTTCAACAACCACCTGTGTGACATTTGCTCCAGGTTGGTGTTCCTTACTTGCCATGGCCTAATATTAATTTCAGTGCTACACATCAAGTCTAGTTCCTTTCTTAAGTTCTGTCTTGTATTATTTTGTTCTGAATCCTGATGTTTGTTTAGTTTAGCATGGTGTAAATTGTTTGGTTGAGTATTTCTATTAGTAATGACTTGATATACATTGCAGCTGCCTGCATGACATGGGAGTTGGCAGAATCAGGTGGTGATTTTATTACTTCCGTTATTAATGGAGCTGACTTGGTGCCCACATTCTCTGCTGCATCGGTGGATGATTTACGTGCTGAGGTTATGTTCTAAACTCTGGTTAATTAAATCATGTTGATTTTGATGAGAGAGTGCTTCTTGAGCAATTGCTATGTTTTCCTTATAATTGATTTGGAAAAAGTGTGTAGTACTGAACTTATATTGTTGCTGCTGATAGAAGCTTTTTTACTGTACTTGTTTGGTTCTAAATATTTTGTGCTCTAACTTGTGATTTTAGTCAGATTACGACCATGAAGTTGAAAAAAAAATGCATGCAGGAATTCCTTTTACTCCTAGCATGCTCTTTTCTCATTTATAATACACGGAGATATTATATTTTTCAAGTATACCCAATTTATTATTGTTGTTATTATTATTTTTCACACGAAAGCTTATTAGCTTCAATAAGTTTTCCTACACAGCCATCCTGTGCTAGTAGTTGGATCTCTGGCTTGTTGGTACTTGACAGGCTTGCATACTTGCTATTAGTTCTTGTGGAACATTGCTAATGCTGATATTCCTGTCATGCTTCTAATATGTGTTAATTTCTAATATATTCTTTTATTCAATTTATTTCTTTTTACAGGTGACAGCATCTGCTTGGTTAAATGATTTGAGAAATCAGATCGAGCAGACAAGAATCCTTAGCACTGTCTATCGTTCTGCCTCAGCTTTGGGTTCGCGGCTTCCGTCCATTGCCAGTGCTAAAGCAAAAGTTGCTGGGGCAGGGGCAATTCTGCGCCCTGTTTCCAATGGCACACAGGTAGCCTTTTGTCTTTCTAATGTAATTTTGCTACACACCATCTTCTTTTCCTTTCTGAACCTTCTTGTAAGAAATCGAATATTATTTTTAGTCTTTATCGTGTCTTGTGACATTCTTGTTATAGAAGCTATCAACCTTGTTATTTGGTGGTTGAAACCTATATTCCTCTTCGATCTAATCATTTGGTTGGCTTGTGAAACTTTCTAATTTCACAGGTTGTTATGAGAAGAGCCCAGAGCATGGCTCAAGCAGCATGGACTCGTCCTTCACTTAATTTGTCGTCATGGTCGTGCATGGCCCCTCGTCACCGAGCCTCAGCTGTTCATTCAAACTCAAATGATGAGGGAAGTTCTCCAGGATCCTCTGGCAGAAACAAAGAGACTTCTGAGCCTCTTCTTACATCCCCAAAGAGAATGACAAGCTCAACTGGCATTGAAACCATTGATCTTCCTGTATCTTCATCTGTAGGAATGGAATGGACTTCAGAGGTTGGTTGTTCTTATTCTGATGGAATGCGTCCAGACACTGATGGTGATGTCGGTAATGAAGGTGAGAGGCTTATGGACCGTGATGGACATGAAGACCGCATGACTGAAGTTGAATTGTGGCAGCACCTTGAGCATGAGCTTTATGATAGAACAGAAAGTGAGGAGGCTGATGTGGCAACTGAAATAAGGAATGTGGAAAATGAAATAAGGGAAGAGGAAGAAGCGGCAATTGCAGAGGTAAGTGATGGTCAGCCAGAGAGCTCTGCCCCTGATATGAAGGAAGCACACAGATTTTTTCCTGCTGGGAAAATCATGCATATTGTTACGCTTCACCATGGTGGGCCTGAGTGTGAAAGTGGTAGCCCTAGCTCAAGTGCATCGGGTAATGAGCAGCCAGAGGAGACTAGGGTTGGTATTTTCCTCACTCCAAGATCTCTGTACAGTAAGCTGAGGTTGTCACAAACCATGATTAGTGATCACTTCATGCCAGTTTATAGAAGACAGATTGAAAAACTAATTAAAGAACTTGAGGAAGAAATAGCTTCAACTGGAGATGTAGTGTTATAGGGAGAGGGAGATTGGAATTATACTGTGTATATGCATTGCACCGGACTTGGAATTTTGACCCCATTGATTTTGAATCTAAGCTGCATAGAGACGATAACCATCTTTCATTTCTTTGCCGCAGTGTAGGAAGAACGGTGATAGCGTGGCGCAGTCTAGGGATAAAAACATTCATTTGGCTGCCTCTTTATCACTTAGACCTGTATACAGTTTCCAAAATCCTCGTCTTCTGTAAATTGGTTCATTTTTTCTTTTAATTAGTTGGCAGGCAATTTTTAGTATTTCTCTGTTGAACTTGTGGATTATAACATGTCCTCTTTGTGGTTGCCCTTTTGGGCTTACTTATTTTCAGCCAGGGAAACGCACTCAGAGGTTTACCATCTTGGTTTTGTTATTGAAACATCTTCTTTATGATTTTAGAAGTAGGCAATATGGGAATGTAAATATTTTTTTGTTAATGTTTTTGCAAATATTCGAATACATCAGGATCGACATTTTTTATATTTTTTATTTGCACATCAGGATTGAATAATTGATGCACTAATCGGACAATAATTTAAATTAATCATAGACCAAGAATCCCAGAAAGGAAATCCACTTGTAAAAGCTGAATGAGGATTTGGAGTTCCACGTCAAATCCAACTCTTTAAGAGAAAAAGTCCAAATATCATGCCGACTTCCACCAGAAATTTTATTAATCAATTGATTAGCTTGTTTGTTTTTGCCGATATTTACAGGTTTATATTTAATGCATTGTGCCAAGCCAACGTTGATTTATATATTTATAAATAAATAACCCAAAACCTCAATTAAGAAAGATAAAAATAAAAATACAACTTCATTTGAAAGGCACAAATATGTAACAGAGTTTTGAAAATACAAATAATTATAAAACAAAAAGAAAATAAGAGTCTATGTTAAACAAAAATTTTCTATAATTAAGGATTACAAATTCAAAAAACAATTTTGGTTTATGAACTAGTTCGTGATCTTATGGTACTTATGTTCCTAATACTGAAAGTAGATCCCAAATTCGAATCATCCGCTCTCCATTAATTAAAAAACACACACGCACAATCATGATTTTGAACTTGTTGACCATAACTCATAGTAATTATCACAAATACTTGATTTATATATGAAGCAACTATTTCATATTTTAGACATCAAAACAGAAAAGAGTAGTAGAGAATTTTGTATTTCTATTGAAGTTTGTGTGATTGTTAATATATGATGAGTCGCTCTCTATGCTCACATCATTCGATCGTTTGAAGATCTTCATTCATTTTTCTTCATTTATTGCTTCACAATAGTTAAATATGGAAGTGATGGTCGACCGAACTTTAATTAACTCAATAAATCTTTGAGCTTTTATTATTTTATATTAATAGGGATGTAATTTATACGTGATGATGCTTTTGGTGATTTCTTTGTCGAGATCGATCACAACTTTGCCACTTTGCCAAAGGAAGAAAACAAAGGTCTTCTTCTACCCCATGAAATGAAACTTAAAGGCCAATGACTTTTTGTGCTATGATGGATGGTGATGCAATGCAACCACATTATGGGAGTTTTATTTCTTTTCTTTTACTGATGTATAGTTTTTCTTCCTATACCTTGACTTTCTAGCCTCCTTCATGCATTTATAAACGAATAACAAAATACTGTATGGATTTTGTGTTGCATTTGTTTGAGTTTTATTTATTTATTCAATTCAAAAAAAAAAAAAAAAAAAAAAAAAAAAAAAAAAAAAAATTAGAATGTAAAATGATGAGAAACCAAAAAGAAAGAAGAAAAAAAAGGCAATTAAAATGATGTTAATGGGCCCACTTGGATAATTTAACTAACTTGATTAGTGTGCAACACGTAACTAGTGACTCAGATGCCATGTCAGAATTTCATTTCAATTAGTCACCACGTCACCCACAAGAATATTTCGTTGTATGCATTGGATAATGATGGATGCCAAGCCAATTGGCTCTGGTTTCCCATTAAACAAAACCCAGACAGCTAGCTAGACATCACATATGTTGATACCCAATCTAATATTTCTTTTTATTCTATATTGTATTTCAATCATCCGAAGCGTTATCGTTTAAGTATTCATTCAAAGATATATATCTCCTACTTTGGATAAATGCATATTGATGCCAAATTGTCCTAGGCTAGCATGTGAAGCATGCATGCGTATAAAATATAATGAGTGTGAAATTTATATCTGTGCCCATGTGAACTTGTGGGCATGCATGCAGTGCAGATGCAGTTCTTCTGTGTCCTTCAATGAGGCATTAAGAGGAGCAACAAATATGGTCCTTGTTTTTGTGATAGGAACAGATCGTTTGGTGGGTTGCCTATCTATTCTTGCAAGGTGTCATAATAATAATCACTTGGGAGAAAGAAAAGAAAAAAAGAAGGTCTCTTTCGTGATCGATATCAGCAATAATTTCACAAGTCTCTTTTAAATTTTGAGGTTTGGCAGAGCTTGGTCCATTCATTATTTTTGAAAACAAAATTAGATGTAATTTTGATGGCGATTGGTTGGCCTTTGATTACCAGAACAATCAGATTGTCAAATTGATCATGAAGAAGGGCCAACCAGGTAATATAGGTATACCCTCGTGCTTCAAAAATTAAAGGAGTGGGGGCTAAAAAGGGGGTTGCGTAAGATGCACTTGTGTTCAATATGAAACTCCAATAATTAAAGGCATGATCATATCACTGTGCACATCATATTCAAACGCCCCACCTCTTAATTCTTATTCACTTACAAGTTAGACATGTGATAGCTCACGCGCATATGAATGGTTGTAAATCATAAACCTATATGAATCAATACTAAATAGATATAAGTCTCACGATAAGACTTGTACATCAACAACAATCAACAATCGTTATACAATTTAACATCGCATATTCATTTTCATGTTGTTTCTATAAATTGTTAATTAGAAATTATATAAAGGGAATTGCCATGATCTTACTTTTTATCTTTATTATTTTAACTTCGTTAGATCTAAAGGCCAGCCATCAACCACATTAAAAAAATAATAATAATAATAAAATCTAAGTTTCCATTTCAATACACTATGTATCATACCCTAGTTTAATATTTTTCTTTTTGAATGAATATCTAATAGATTTCAATTTTACTGTCATGTAGGATTTATTTCGATATAGGATTAATCACTAAACCTTATAGTCTAGACTTGTACTTTTTCTTGTTAATGTGAGCAAAATATGTACGGCTTTATAATTCCGATAGCGTAACAGAGTTCGACTCTAATTCTTCATCTTCTCTAAGTTTTGTTTTAAAAATATATATTAGTTAGGTATCTATAATTAATCTCTGACTTCCCATCCCACCCCTCACATGCTAATAATTACTCACTTATCTCCCTATAGTGAAGAAGCAGACAGTCTGAAAACAAAATTGTTTGTTAGCTCAAATTAATGTGAAATGACCAAAACTAGCGTAAGCCTGGAAGACCCAATTAGGCTGTGTTTTGTACCCAGACAGGACGAAATCCTTGCAGTAATTTGATTTGGAAAGACTTCTGGAAGTCTAAGCAGAAAACCTGAAAAAATTAATTAAAAAAAAAGACTTGCGGAAGGAAGCAGACAATCAAATGTGTAGCTTACACGTTTTTGATCTACACGTGGATGCCATTCATTGGTTTGAAATAGCAGGAAAGAAATTAGAAAAGCCTTCAAACAGCACATATTGGCTAAGGAAAGAAGAACAGTCTGAAAACATGATAATGCTTAGTTGGCAATCCAATAATCAACGGTCAGAATTCCGGGACAGCAAATGTCGCTGACGTGGATTATACTTTGTAGACTTGTTGTCCAGCCCCTTAAGCCTTCAATCATTGGGTCTTCTCTCTCTACTCTCTAGAAAGTGTTTGTGTTTTTCTCTCTACATCTCTCTAGTTCTCTACTATTCACATATGATTTAATAGCGGATTTTGCGTGGGAGAAACAAAAAGCAATCTCTTTGTTTGCTCAGAGCAAGAGTTGGGTTCTTGCAGAAAACATAGACAAAAGAAGAAAAGAGATCAAAGTTTGAGTCTTGATCATCAGGGAGGAGCTAGCTTTGGCAAGTTTGAGAAAGCTAGGAAAGGGCTTGTTTGGAGGTTTGAAGACTTCTTGGAAATGGTTTTCATGTCTGACATTTTCTTTGCTGCGGAAGAGAAGGTGGAAGAAGGCGCTTGGGAGAAAGAGCGATAAAAGATACGCATAAACAAACCCAAATTAGCAGAAAGTTGAGAGAAAAAGCTATAAAAAAAAACGTTGGGATTCAATTTTGATCTGCTTCTTCTACTGGTAATTCTCTTGACTTGTTTTTGTGCTTCTGCTCTGTTTTCACTTTTGAAAGAGAGTGGAGTTTCACAAAAGTAAAGGATCTGATTGGATTGATTTCCAAAGAAAAGAGGTGTTTTTTTTTATTCAGAACCCAAAATTTTATATTTTCTATCTTTTGATAATTTTTTAAAACCAACAAAGCTAATTGAAGAGCATGGTTGGAAGTACAGCTTGTTCCAAATGCGGTTTCCAGCTCACCTCTGTGTTTTTTTTAGGTTTTGCTAAGAAGCTCATCCTTTTGTTATCCAAACCATAATTCTGTTTTCTTTCGGAAAGTGTAACTGTACAACCTAAAACCCACACACACAAACACAAATTTTTGTGCTTCTTTTGTCGTTGTCAACATTAAGAAACATAAATAATTTCAGTTTTCTGTTTTTGTGACAACCAAGTAGACACTCAACCTTTCCGTTTTTCCTCACCAAACAGAGCAGCATAAAAAAAGAACACAAGATTTTGCTTCTTGCCATCAACCAATTCCATTTGCAGTCAGAGAACTCATGATTTTGGCAATCTCGTTTGGATTGTTTGTATTGTTTGCAGGGTTTATAATGGCATTGTATGCAACTATTCTCGGCGACCCAATGGTTCTGCCACCAGCCCCAGAAACCCAACAACCGCAAGACACAAAACTCATTGCCCAAATCGAAATCGAGTTTGTTAAATGTGACTGCTGCGGCCTGTCGGAGGAATGCACCCCGGCCTACATTCAACATGTTCGGGAGAGATATCAGGGCCATTGGATTTGTGGGTTGTGTGCAGAGGCCATCAAAGATGAGATTGTGAGGTCTGAGAGGCTCATAAGCACAGAAGAAGCCATGGCTACCCACATGAACTTCTGCAAGAAGTTTAAGGCCTCAGGGCCCCCTCCAGACCCAACAGTTCACTTGATATCTGCCATGAGGCAGATTCTTAGGCGCAGTTTGGATTCTCCAAGGGTTAGGGTTTTGAGATCAACTCCAACTAGTCCAACAAAGATCAATGGCAAGGGGCTTACAAGGTCTGAGAGTTGCTTTCCAACTCTCACTGGTTGAGATTGATCTGGCGGTGTCGGAATTATGGGAATAAGAATCAAAGTGGGAAAAAGTTTGGCAAATTTACAATTTCATTTGCTGAAAATAAAAACCCAGAAAGGAAAAAACAAAAAGAGAAATTTTATTTTTAAGGGTAGATGTTTAATTTAGGTTGTACTACTACTTAGTATTGAATACAGAGCCTTTTTCTTTTCCTCTCCATTCCTTTTTTGTTCTTTCTGTTGCTAGAAATTCAATCTCTCTTTCTGATCAAAGTTTTTTCTTTCTTTCACATTTTTTAGCTGTCATGATTAATGAGCTTTAATTTTATTTTTATTTTAGCAATTCATGAGATTTAATATCACTAATGCATTCTGGTTCAAAACTAAAAAGATACAGTTCGACTTTTCAATTTAAAATTATGAGAAATCTTGATGGTACGAGGAAAATTTATTGAATGGTGTCAAAATGAACACCGGGTAGACATAACAGCCTGACCCTTAGAAATACAATCTTCCAACAATTTAGATTAAAGAGTTTAGATTTAACCAATTTGGTATGAAATAAATATTTGTAAAATTTAATGGTGATCTTGGCTAGCCAACTATTTATGTTCTGGAGTGATTCAGAACCATTAAAGATGATCTTGTTTTGGCAAGAATTTCTTGGCATATATAACTAACTAATGAGAATGGAAGGATCATTCTGCAAAGGAATCAAGAGAAATGTGGAACCTACATGGCCATCGAATTTCTAAAATAAGGAGTTGTGAAGTTGTGATGAGAATCATTCCTACTGATCTACAACTTTGTCTATAACAGTGAAAATGCCCTAGCATTGGATTTGTGTTTTCTTTTTCACTTGCAATCAACCTCATTCTGTTTTCAATTTTAGACAACGCCTTATTCTTCCCTTCCATATTTTTTTTCTTCTCATTCTTCTTCTGTGATTTCAAATGATAAACACACTATAATTGTAGTACAAACCTACTTTTGATAATGCCCTCAGTGCTCAATTGCCCCGATAAATTATGTACATGGTTTTATGAGAATTCTTCAAACGTGAAAGAAATATGATATACTATAATTAGTAAGAACCCGTAAATGAGACATTTATTTTTAAAATATCATAAAGATCACGCACGCGCTTAGAAAAAAAAGAAGAAGATATTGTATATGCCTAGGATGAAAAAGATTGGTGTGAGGAGGAAAATTAAGAGTAAAAATGGTGGCCAAAAACGGAAGTGAGACAATGTGCCACCAATTATCCTACTCTTTGCTGATCAAGAAAGTTAATAAAATTGATGAAAATAGTAAGACTATCATAAAGGGTCACTAGGAATTTAGCCCAAAATAATGCAGTGACAACTAATAAGATAGTGAACATGAGAATCAGTGCGAGACAGACAGCAGTGCTTGTCTTAATTCTGTTGCGTACGTGGAGTCTCTGCTGGATTTAGAAGGCTGTGGATTGATGCCTATGGGAATCGGATCTGGTGCATTGCATTGCATGAATGGCTGCCCTGCCCACAATATACATTCAGGCCTCAGAGGCTCAGGGTTTGATTAAATAATGGCACATCAATATATATTCTTCAGTATCTCTAACTCTCAATCATTGATCAACAGCACAATTTTACTCGATTCCTGCTTGTAGCTCCAATCCAAAACGTGTAAAGCAGTATGCACAGCTTGGCAATTGATTTTCGGGGTGCAGTTTATGCAGGGCGGTTTTTCTTCTGTTCGGATTGTGCAAACACATTTTCACGTCGTCGGTCTAGTACATTGTGTGAAGGTAAAGAGTCCAACATTAGAAAGTTAGAAAACCTTGCAAGGACTTATAAGGAGTTGGGCTACTCTCCCAATTACCAATTGGTTTTGGGGTGGAACCTCAACTTCCTTTATGACATCAGAACGAGTTGCCCACGTGTGAAAGCCCAACGATCACACGTGCTTCACGTCACCCAAAATGCTCTAGTACATTGCTCTTTCAGAATAATAGATTAAGTCTCTCAAAATAATAATTTATCATTCCAAACACATACATCATAGCAACAATTAGCATATCCAAATTGCTCACTAATTTCTAATGGAGGAGGTCAAAATTATTAGATGCACTCACCAACCAGACTGACAGAAAATTAAAAAAATTTTAAAAAGAAAAAGAAAAAAGAGAGAGGAAATCAAGTGTCTTTTTCTTTGGAAAATGGTGGCTAACTTGTGAGAAAAACACCAACAGTACAAACCACCCTAATTAGCATCTAAAGTCTTGCACCAATTATAAGCCTAGCTTGCTCAATTATTTTAGGCTCATTTACCTAATCCCACAATAAGATATATCTAATATCTTGCACTTGTGTTTAGTTTATGTCTAGACTCAATCATTGATCTCTTATTTAATGTGGAATTAAAATGGTCACATGATTCATTCTTTCTTGTCTTCACCTCAATAAGATCATTGGAGATTAGTTTTGAAGGAGTTTGGTTGACTTGGGTGTGGTTTTCTGTTTTTAACCCCAAAATATCTTGTGCCTTAAGTCCTTTCAACCAGAAGAATATGAACCTTCCTCCACAATCCACAGCCCTCTCTTGCCTCGCAATTAACATGGCTTCAATTGTCAATATAAATTTAAGATTAAAATGCTAAAAAGATTGCGGAAAAGAAACGCGATGAGCGTGGATGGCTTAAGGAGAAAGTCTAGATGTGCTCTCCACTCTGCATCTACACACGAGTTCAAATCCCCTTCCACAAAGTTTAGATTAAATTAAAGTATAATATAGGTTTTATCTACACGCACAAAAAAACTAAGAAGAAGAAGAAAAAAGAACTGTACCAGTCTGAAATTGAGCCTGGCCACATGCCTAAAATTGGATTTGGCTAAGAATTGGTTATTTGGTTTTACTGGGCTAAACCACAAGCCCATGAGCTGGTCCACGTTTTGTGGTCTGCGCCTAATTTAAGATTGACCCAAAATACAAAATTTGTGGTTTCAGCCACAAGGACCATTTCATGTGCTCAGTTTTTAATATAATATTCTTCATCTTCTTGATGTTCATCATGTTAATATTATTATTTTCAATAAAATATTTAAATGAAATAATAATTTTCAGGAAAATGGAAATTAGTGATAGCGAGAGAAATGAATGAGTGAGGAAGCGATGTGCCTTGCTTTGAAAGGAGAAGAAAGCATGAAAGAGCACTTTTACTAAGGCTCACGCGTCATGCATACCCATGAAAGGCGGATCTAAGTCACCCACCAAACTCCACTTAAACCTTTTCTCCTTTTTATTGGTAGGAGGTCATCATGTTAAATTTGTTTCCAAAAAGCGAATAGCAGAATTGCTGGAAGCATTGGAAACACCGTTGAATAGTATAGTTAGGAGATAATGAAAAATTAAGTGAAATTATATCTTAATTCAGCGATATTTAGATTTTAAGTTCGGATCGCCTCGTAAGATTTGGTTTATATTTACCAAGTACACTTATGATATATTTAAGTTTCAATCCCCACGTCACATGATTTGATTGAATATAGATCAATTTCCCCACAACCCCACTCCCTTTTTGTGTAAGGAATTGTGTGAATATGAGACAAAAAAATATGTAGGAAATAATGTAGTTAGGAAACTTCCCCTTGGTTGCCTGTTGAAATGCATGCCATAAGAAATTGTAGCAAAACTATCATCATTAATGAATTGGAGCTGTATTTTACTTGTACTCTTGAAAGTCCTTGATCTTTGATGTGTAAGTCTCACAAACATGAATGAATGGTTAACAAAATCAGTGTAAGAAGCAAACCTTCCCATCAACTGATTTATCATTTTCTGCCACTAAAATGAAAAAACACGAACAAACAAATAATACGTAAAACCCGAATTCTTAATGACTATTGTTGTTCTTACTAATATGGTGAAGCACAAAAATAAAAAAACACGGCCCTTTAGAGCACGAAACACCGTAACTTATATGCCATCGAGGTCCAGACCTCTAAACCTCATTAGCACACGAAGCCAAATGAATACCTATTGAACTTCAAAATAATAGAGCAAATTACTTGCTCTAAGAGTTGAAAGTCCTCATAGTTTGAGTGTACCTCAACTCTTTTGATACACACAGATTGCTTGAGTAGATGGGAATTTTGCGAAATTATGGCTGTTATTCTCACAAAGCTTGTCTTATCGTAGATGGGCATTTTTGTTTGAATTCGTAGATGCGTAGGATAGAATCGAATCCATACCATTGCCCATTCCCATAGGCCATAATAGTATATTCACGGACCACTATACTTGATTCATCATCCATTTCATGTCGTTTTCTTCTAAAGCCCACATTCATTGATTTGTCATTTACCAATTGGCTGCCATTTACCCCTTAAACCTCTTGGTCCCACATTTTGTACTATAAGCGGCGCGTACAAGATTCAATTCAATTCGTTAAAATGGATCCATCCAATTTTATTTCAATCGATTTTGATGAATTGAATTGAATTCGTAATTTTCAAAACCAACATAATTAGATCAGATAACGAATTTGCATATGAGAATTTAATCCAATATAATTAGTTTTATACTTATTTTGCTATTGTATGAATATTTGAAGTTATTTAATGGAGTTATGTTTAATATATTATATAATCAAAGCAATTTTTTTCTAGTATTTCATTTATATTTTACATTTACGTCTATTAACATGTTTGATTAGATTAAACTTAAGAATAAATGTTTAATATTTCATTATTATTTTTTTCATTATCAAAACCGATCATCCAATCCAATCCAATTCAATTATCGAAATAAGTTTAAACATCTAATATGATTAGATCGGATTGAAAAAAATCACAATCCAATCTATATTGTATCGTATATGAATTGACTAAATTGTATTGGCTTCGAAACGTGTACAACCCTTAAGCCGATCATCCATATTGTCCATTCTCATTGGTCCAAAAATCCCCACATAACAAGAAAAACTCATAAAATATTTTATCCAATAAATAAAATATCCTTTGATTAAATCCCATAAATATTTATTTTCCCTTGGGCTCTTATTAATCGGATGAACCTGACCAAAATTCATGCACAAATTAAGGCCGAACAAAATTTGTGGAGAGACAAGTGGGCTTAAAAAAACCAGCCTAACAGACCATTTGTTGATCCCTCCAGTTTCTCAGGAACCAAACACAATTCTCATGGCCACTTCCACTCTCTCCCTCTTCCTCTTCCTCCTCTCTCTTCTCCTTCCTGCAACACTCTCAATCCCGCCCGACCTGTCCGACCGCCCAAAAGCCTTCATCGTCCACGTGTCCAAATCCCAGAAGCCCTCCCTCTTCTCCTCCCACCGGAGCTGGTACACCTCCATCATCCAAAATCTCCCTTCCCCTCACCCCACCAAGCTCCTCTACACCTACGACCTCTCCGTCCACGGCTTCTCCGCCACCCTCACTTCCTCTCAGGCCACACAGCTCCTCAGCCACCCGTCCGTACTCTCCGTCACGCCCGACCAGCCACGTCAGCTCCACACCACTCACACCCCCAACTTCCTGGGCCTCGCCGACTCCTTCGGCCTCTGGCCCAACTCCGACTACGCTGACGACGTCGTTATCGGCGTCCTTGACACCGGGATCTGGCCCGAGCGCCCCAGCTTCTCGGACTCGGGTATCGGCCCGATCCCCACCCGATGGAAGGGCACGTGCGTCACCACCGCGGACTTCCCTTCCTCCGCCTGCAACCGCAAGATTATCGGCGCTCGCGCCTATTTCAACGGCTACGAATCCCACATCGGAAGGTTGATGGACGAGACGGCAGAGGCGAAGTCACCGAGAGACACCGAAGGCCACGGGACCCACACGGCCTCCACCGCCGCGGGCGCCGTCGTTGCTAACGCGAGCTTCTTTTCGTACGCTCAAGGCGAAGCCAGAGGAATGGCCACCAAGGCCAGAATCGCCGTCTATAAAATCTGCTGGTCTTCTGGGTGTTTCGATTCTGACATCTTGGCCGCAATGGATCAAGCCATTGCTGACGGTGTTGATATCATCTCGCTCTCTGTCGGAGCCGGCGGTCGCGCTCCGCCGTACGATCGAGACTCCATAGCCATCGGAGCTTTTGGGGCTGCCCAGCATGGTGTTCTTGTTTCAGCCTCGGCTGGGAATTCTGGGCCTAACCCATTTACCGCTACCAACATAGCTCCGTGGATTTTAACAGTGGGTGCATCCACTATTGACAGAGAGTTCCCGGCGGACGTTGTTCTCGGCGACAATCGGGTTATTAGCGGGGTTTCGTTGTACTCCGGCGAGCCTCTTGTGGACTACAAGCTTCCGTTAGTGTATGGCGGAGACTGTGGAAGTCGGTACTGTTATGAAGGGGCTCTTCAGCCATCGAAAGTTCAAGGGAAGATTGTGGTGTGTGATCGCGGAGGCAATGCGAGAGTGGCAAAGGGAGGCGCGGTGAAGCTTGCAGGTGGGCTTGGGATGATATTGGCCAATACAGAGGAGAGTGGAGAAGAGCTTCTTGCTGACGGTCACCTCATACCTGCAACAGAGGTGGGTGAGATCGCTGCTAATCAGGTAAGAGAGTACATCAGATTGAGCCAAAACCCAACAGCCACCATTGTGTTTCGCGGAACTGTAATTGGGTCTTCGCCATCTTCTCCAATGGTCGCAGCTTTTTCGAGCCGAGGACCAAACTCTCTCACACCAGAGATTCTCAAGCCAGATGTGATTGCTCCTGGGGTGAACATTTTGGCTGGTTGGACTGGGGCTACTGCTCCCACTGATTTGGATATTGATCCTAGAAGAGTTGAGTTCAATATCATTTCAGGCACATCCATGTCTTGCCCACATGTGAGTGGCATTGCTGCTCTGCTTCGAAAGGCTTATCCGAATTGGTCGATTGCTGCTATAAAATCTGCTCTGATTACAACAGCTTACACTTTGGACAATGCCGGGAAGAAAATTAATGACCTTGGAACTGGGGAAGAGTCAACTCCTTTTGTTCATGGAGCAGGGCATGTTGATCCCAACAGAGCTCTTAATCCTGGGTTGGTTTATGATCTCAATGTCAACGACTATGTGGCGTTTTTGTGCTCAATTGGGTATAGTCCAAGGCAAATAGCTGTGTTTGTAGGGAAGCCTACTGGTTCCGATATATGCACAAGAAACAGTTTGGCTAGCCCTGGTGATCTGAATTACCCTTCGTTTTCAGTGGTTTTGAGTTCGGATCAAGGGCTGGTAAAGTATAAGAGAATCGCCACGAATGTCGGGGAAGACGCCGATGCAGTTTATGAGGTGACAGTGAATGCTCCAGCTGGTGTGGAGATCAGTGTTGAGCCAAGAAAGCTGGTGTTCAGTGCAGAAAACCAGACTCAGAGTTATGAGGTTACATTCAAAAGAGGTGTTGGGTACGATAGCGGGGAGAGATATGGTTCGATTGAGTGGACAGATGGCAGGCATCTGGTGAGAAGTCCAGTTGCTGTGAGGTGGAGCAGTGCTAGATCCTTAGCTTCCATGTGAGTTTTAGCAGTTTGAACAGCCGCCATAGCAATGGGTGGTGTTCTTCCGGGCAAAGATCAATGAGAGCATAGTCACTTGCTTGCTTTGTTTGAACTTATTAATCAGCCTCTTGTGTAAAGTTGAAGGGCTTTTGAATTGTTATGGGTAGGCCCTGATTATGTGAATACGTTACATTGTTGTTGCAAAATCGAAGCTTGAGAACTTATCTAAGCAATAAATTAAATCACATTTAGTGTGACTGGACCAGTTTAGAGCAAAAACTAAGCTTATTAAGATTTTGGACACACTGTTATCGCTTCTTACATAGATGAATGCAAATATATTTCACAGGAAAATGGTTGTGAGTTTATTAATGGTTTAATAATACTCTTTTGACATTTATTTGTGGATGAATGTAATATATTGTGGATGTACCATCTAGTTTCAAGTTACAATGATCCATAACATTCTCCATTAAATTGACACCATGTTTTACCTTCTATTTTGACATTTTCTAAGTCATTAAATCCCAGTTTCTTTTCAAAATATAACTTCTTAGTCCTGTGATTCAAACATGTGGGGACTAATCAAATTTTCGCAGGTGATGGCAGATTTTGAAAGAGAAAATATTAAAGGAAATGTTAGATGTGGATCAATCAAAGATGGATTTTCTTCCCAAGGTGATTCCCCCAGCTGGTTGGGCTCTTGCAAACATTATATGCCTAGCAACAGGGGCAGAGAATGATTCTGTTGATCCTGGAGGGTTCCATCAAGATTTGGACTCTGTATCATATGTCCATGCTGTTAACATTCTTGCAGAAAACTTATTGTCCAGGCTTGAGAATGTTGACTGTGTCAAGGAGAACCAGAATCTCCAAGGTGAAGTTGAAACCCATGAGAAGCCCACCCATACAGCTTTATGTGAGGGTGAGATGGGGTCCTTCAAAATGTCGTACTTGGATATGTTTAGACCTATTTCCCAGCAGTGGCATCTTACAGATCTTTTGGCTATAATGGATAAAGTTGGTCGTATTCAAGGGTCTGAGACACGACAAAACCTGGAACATTCAAGGAAGTTGGAGCTGCTAGATATTGTGCATTTATATTCATACATGCTCAGAATATTTTCATTATTGAACCCCACAGTTGGATCGTTGCCAGTCCTTAACATGCTATCTTTTACTCCTGGGTTTCTTGTGAATCTATGGAGCGCATTGGAAACAAACCTTTTCCCCAGGGATTGTCACACTGATCCAGACAATTATGACCGTATTAGTAAAATTTCAGTCAATGACAAAAAAGTTGGGGCTTTTTAGAAAAAACAAAAACACGCCAATAATGATGGAGTTAATAAGTGGGTCACTGTTCTGCATAAAATTACTGGCAAGTCGCAAGGGAATGATTATACAAATTTGAGAGATAATCAACCTAAGCCTAGACCTGTTGACGAGGATTCTTCTGATGTTTGGGATATAGAACCTGTAAAGCATGGCCCTCATGGTATCTCTAGAGATATCTCATGTATGCTTCATCTTTTCTGTGCAAGCTATTCACACCTACTTTTGATTCTTGATGACATAGAATTCTACGAAAACAGGTAATATTATTTTTTCTTATTTTTCAGTGATTGTTATGATTATTCAAATCTTATGATTTGAGCATTTTATGCATGAATAGGTGCCATTCACACTGGAGCAACAACGGAAAATTACATCTGTCCTCAATACATTAGTTTATAATGGTTTTTCTCAAAGTATTGGACAGCAGGATAGACCCCTTATGGAATCTGCAATCAGATGCTTGCACTTAATGTATGAAAGGGATTGTAGGCGCCAGTCCAACTGATACCCCATTGGTTAAGAAACTCCAAAGCTGAATTGGTGGAAAGGAATACTTAACAGACATTTGCAGTACGCATGCGTCACGTTTTTCAATTTTCTAATACTCTAACATCTAGTTGTTAGTCTTCTAAAAAATGATCGAGAGATCAATTAATGTAACAAATGAAACACTCAATAGAATAGATAATGTGCAGCTCAAGGCATCAAAACGAGGATCGTCGCGTGTAGATCTGGACATTGCTATAAGAATCATTGTTGGGTTGCATGTGCACATGCCGTACGAATAAGTTAAATATAACGTTTTCAGAAACGTTAACAACAACGACGCTTTGGCCGAGTGGTTAAGGCGTGTGCCTGCTAAGTACATGGGGTTTCCCCGCGAGAGTTCGAATCTCTCAGGCGTCGAATTAACCTTTTTCAATCTTTTTTTTTTTGGGAATTTTTTTTGTTTATAAACCCACATGAACAAAATGATCAAGGAAAACCAAGTTGGGCTCCAAAAGTGGCAGCCTAAAGAACCCAAACCTTTTTGAGAGAATAACATGGGCTAAGTTAGATTTAGAGCTCAAGTCTAGGCCCAAAACCCAACAAAAATAAAAAATAAAACTTGACTTAGTTTTTAATTTATTTTTATTTTTATAATAAAGATTTAGTTAGTTTGATGAGAATAATTTAGAAAATCCTATAAATCTAAATTATTATATGCCACATGGTTTAGTACAATAAAAAGAAAAAACTGCAGATGAAGAGGCATATATAATATACAAATTTATAAATAAACTCAATCCTAGACATGTATTTATAAAAAAAACCCAAACACTATTTAAACATAGAAACACACCCAAAATCAACAATTATATATTTTTGGGTGTGTTTATAAATGAGCTTTGAGTGTGTGTAATGATGGGTTTTGGGTGTGTTTATAAAGTGTTTCGGGTATTGGGTTTTTTTTATAATTTCAGCCCTCATTTTGGGTGTTTTAGTGAAACTCCCTATATAATAATAAGAGAATCTTCCCCTTTTATTTTGAATTGGGAGCTGCAATATAAAATGAATACTGCTTGGCTTTTTCTCTGTAAGGAGATACTCCTTCTTGCAAATCACAATTTGACATATATACAAACACAAAAATAAAAATTTATGCACACATGTCACACTGTTATTCACATGAATGTAGGAAATAAAGTATATCAAATACATATGATTTAAAACTTACATGTTAGAGTTAAATATTTCAAACTTAATCATGTTTAATTTATTTTAGAAAGATCATTAACTTAAATTACAAGTTGTCGATTATTAAGTGTAAATAATCATGTCTCGTATATTATTACGAAGTGTATATAATATACTTCATATATAATATATAATATAGTAGAGGAAGGAGGTAAAAAAATTTGGGGGCCAAGGCCACTCCTGCTCCTACTTATGTAATAAGAAGAGAAGTATTTTCCGCATAAAATAGAGCATGAATTTGATAATGATACTGCATACCACAATCATCACCTACGTAAGACTAATTTTATTATTAGGAGGTTGCTTTTAAAATTAGTGCATGGATGTAATACACATTATTATACAAGGAAGTTGCTTAATTAATTTAAAAAAAAGTTTTTTAAAAAATAAAAAATTTGTTTGTTATTCTTCTTCAATGTCAAATTTGATTTTTATTTATACTTTATAATATAAAATTGTGAAAACACTCTTGAGTAAGTATGAGGCGCAAGATGACATATAATAAAGTACAAAAGAACAACTCAAAGTTCACCAAACCAACGAGAGACAAAGTCCAAATCCAAAAATATTTTTGTTTATATGGAAGCTATGCTTGTGGATGGTATTGGAATTTACCAATCATATATGTATGAACTCAACTTCACCACCTACCTGAGTAGGTATATATGTGTGTACGCTTTTGACATATAAGAGCTTTGGTCAAATTACGAACCCAAAAGTTATAAAATAAAAATACTTGTTCAATTGATCTTCAACCCTATCCACACTACTATTTAAATAAAATTTCTCTATCCATACTACTATTTATATATTTCCAATTTTCCACGTTCTATTTTTCTCTTGTTTGGAAATTTAGAACATTGCATGTTTGTGAAATATATGCATATATTTTATTTGAATTATATAAACTTGCATGTAATACGATGATATTTATATCTTTCTATCTTTCTTTTCACGTGATTCGAAACTCGTGTAGAGAAATCGAGCGAAACTAATACAAATCCCCTTGCTGTTGCAGGTAAGTTTCACTAACTGCACGTAGAATTTCATCATTTTCTGAAAGACAATCATAAGGGATAAGAATAGCAAAAGAAGAAAGAGAATACCCTAAACCTTAAGGGCCTGTTTGGTAACGTTTTAAGGAGTTGTTTTCATTTTCAAAGAACAAAAATGAGGCAAAAACACGTTCGGTGACCCAAAAACAGAAAAACCCCTGAGAATGTTTTCATAAAATGAAAACAAGTTCATGTGTACTTGTAGAAAACAGAAAAAAGTTGTTTTCATTCACGTTTTCATAAAAATAACTCACATATTATTATTTCAAATTGTACTATCATACACATTTTTATTGTTTTTGTTTTCTGAAGATATTTTCTAATTAATCTACCAGACACAATTTTATTTTCTGAAAATGCAAATTCATTTTCTTGTTTTCATTCTCTAAAAATATTATAAGAAAACATTCTCCGAAAACATTACAGGAGGGACCTAAACATCTGACCTCATAAAACATAGTCTATTATGCATGTTGTTCTAGTCATTCATTAATCCAATCTAATGGTCAGTATCAATCCTCATAATTATGGAAGTTATGATATGAATCTGACCATCCCCTTTAAATTAATCTGATTAAGGTTGCTCCACATCCACAGTAGTTATGATTTCCAAATCTCAAACCTTAATTAATCAATTTGAGGGCCCCACATGCCTCATATACCCCACATACCCCACTCAAAGCGTGATGCTTTTGTTCTCATTTGGTCAACTTTCTCTCTTTTTTGTAACTTATATTTAGTTTTATCACTATATCCTCCTCTCTGTTCCTCTCTCTCTCTCTCTCACCTTCTTCACACCCCAAACACAAACACATGGCTCAAGATCATGATCTCCACAGCCAAAATCAGAGGCTGGTGAGGCGCGGTTTTCCTCTGCGCCGAGGCCGGAAACTGCCGGTTGCCCGCCTAGGCGGCCCGAAGCCGAAGCGGGGACTTGTGTTTGTTAAAATGCTCAAGAGGATCAGGATGAGGTGGCTGAAGCTTCAGTACTTGTGCATGTTGAAGAAGCTCAAGGAGTCTTACAAGAACATGATGAAGGACTTAATGACAGCTGGCGCGAGCTTGGAGACCTTCCACCAGAGGATTTTCATGGAGACTTCTTTCGCCATCCCAATGGGAGTCTCTCTTTCCAGCTACCCTTCTGTTGCTGGATCAGATCGGCCTCGAACCCTTTTCATGTAGAAAAAGTACTTGTTCTCTTTGTCAAATCTCATCAACTTTGAATCTCTTGAAAATTAAAAGAGAAAAAAAAATGTCACCCTTTTGTTGTTTTGTTTTGTACGTTATGAAAAATATTTTATTTTATTCTCTCTCTCTCTCTCTCTCCTCTCTCTCTCTCTCTCTCTCTCTCTGTAAAGGAAATGAACAATTTATTTCCTGGAAATGTAGATTTATATATAGTTTGGTGGTTGCAGACTTTTGTAGGATTTGTTATTGTGGGAATTATATTGTATGGGAAAGAAAGAGACGACTTAATTAAGTCTCAAAATCTTGGTCTGAGGTTTGGAGTAGATTGATTTCTGAATTTTCTCCGTTTTCTTGCATGTGATTTCTTTGCAACCAAACAGATCGGTGTTTGCAATAGCATTGGGCACAAAACTGTATGCATCTCATTTCAAGCATGAATAGTGGGATATTTTTGTGTGTAGAATTATTCAGTGGTGGAGGCAAGAAAATAAAGCATATAAAATCCTGGTCAAGATAAGTCAGAAACCAACATAAATTTCCAGCAGAAAGGGTCAGAATTTGGGGGGTGCAAGCAAGTTTGGCACTTGGCATCATCAGTTACAAGTGAAGACTTTACTCGCACGATAGACTATTGAAGAGTTTGGAGTTACTTTATGTCAATGTTTTTAATTGGGCTTAAATGCGCATGAAGTGAAAAGATCGCCTTATAAAATTATCAATGCATTAAGCATCTTGGGTGCTGCGATCTGACTGGTTTGGGAATCAAAAGCAGAAGAAAAATTTAGCAGGCCACCCACGCAAGGAGAGAAACTCGCATGAATCTATACACTCTTCTTCTTGAACACTATCATATGTCATCTCATTATGAGAGAGAAAACGTAATCACTTATTGTGAGAGAAAATTGGTAAATTGGTGAATCATGTCGTGCTTAACATGTGATTAGTTATTATGAAAAGAAGAGATATATTGTGTTTAACACGTGATCACTTATTATGAGAGGAAATCACATGCCGATTACAGGCAAGTTTTTCTTTGGAAGCCTAAAAGCAATAGTTGTTCTTGCTCTTACATAAGTCATTCCAAAAACCTAAAACTGACAATAGCTGACAGAGGGAGCATGCAAAAGATGGGTAACATGAAGTTGAAAACTTGAAAATTAGATTGGTGTCTAGTGCTTACATAGAAGGATGGCAAGGGGATCCAATGAGATCTTCAATAATTTTTCATCTTCTTTGATGATTAGGGTGCAGCTAGCAACAGCATTTCATGCTTTGTCTCTGTCTGAAATGGGAATGTACAATATATACAATATATACACACACATAGTACAAAAATATATTTCATTTTCATGGCTTTATTTGACCACTAACAAGAATTCTGTAGACAAAAAGGAAGGACCAAAATAAAATGAAATCTTAGAACCAAATATTATTAATGAATGCATTATTGAATTGAGTACCCCATTGCATGGCCAACAGGTGTGAGCTGATATGACATGAAAGCTGTCACGATATGCCAAAGTTTGGCAATGCCTAGCTAAGTCATAGCTCTGATGTTGTCTTCTTCTGTGCTCCACCATGTGACCAAGCTAGCTCTACATTTAAATTATTGCCACTTGCTGTTCTCATATTTTTGTACGTAGCAGGATATATTTTCTCTTTACCGCCTGCTTCATCTGTTTAAGTAAAAGATTGATAGTTTATTCATAACTTGCATGGGGATGCAATTGATCAGTACTATTTAAGATGGCTCTGAAAGATTCACCGGTCGGATAAGACGGCAAGGTTACGGGTTGAAACTAAAACTTTAATTTAATTACTTATAATCATGCAACAATTAAGCTCAAAGCTAGACCACAATAATCTATATATGCATTGGTGTGAAAGCAACTTGCTTATCAGATAATACTTTGTCATTGACTTGTTAAATGGTTAATTAAAATAGAATGTCCTTTGTCAATTCTGATAAGTTAACGCAAATATCTCCATCTGCTCAGGAAATAAAAAATGATTGAAAATTATGGTTAACCACCCCTGAATTTCCAGGCAAATGACATGGTCAATGATTCAATGAATCCTCAGACTCAGGTAATTAAACAGGCTAACCAGTTGGCTGGATTAAGTCAAGCACCAAGTATATATTCTCAAGAATCTCAACCCTGCAGCAGCTAGACGAAAAGGTCAAGAACAATATTTTGCTAGTAATTGATGCGTTCAATGGCAAATGGCAAACCAACTGATATCTATACAAAAATATTTGCATACCATACATTTGAATATAAAGTTGTTAGTCTATCAATTAAGTTACAAGTTTAATTTTATTCAATTCATTTTATTAATGACTGATAAACATGTATGTGTTCAAATTCAATGGACTTCGGTAGGGAGATTCCTCAAATAACACGAGTTTACGAATATATTTTAGAACTCAATTCGCGTTGTAGTTCAATTATTCAAACGTTTCAAAATTTTCATTTGTTTAATCTTCATTTAAGTATCATCCCTACAATACATGTCTGTCAAATAGTATTATTTGAGAAATTTCTCAACTGAAGTGAATTGTTTAAATTCTTATACGTAGTTACACCTACACAATATTTTGGGTTAGATATGCACATAGGGTTATATGTATTTAACAGAGTGCTTTTAATGATATGATATGTGTTATCTTTCTTTTTTTCTTTTTATCGAACCCAAAAGATTATCTTAAGAAATAAAAAGAACCATGATACATAGTTACATACCCATGCACACTGTCAAAATTAGAGTTGGTTGGTCCATTTGGGATCATCTTGGGCCCAAAAAAGGATCTGAGTTAGATCGGCTTGAACATATAGCCTGTTGATCCAATGTGACGTGTCTTCTTTTCCTTGACAAACTACGTTACCCCCAACAACCTAGAATCAAAATGAAATTATGAACAACTGAAAAAATTGGAAAGGGCAGAATCGCTAGATGAGCAAGGTTGACTGATATCAATTTCTCTTTAAATCATGTTTCTTCACTATTTGTCAATCAACATTGTAGCCACTTAACCCAAAGATAAAATGGTGTATAATTAAGTTATGCAATCAAGCTTCTATTTAGGCATCGGCTAATTAGGGGTTTGATTTACTTGGGAAGCCCGGGGAGAGAGATTCTTGAGTGCGACTGTGGTATACGGCAACATAGTCAAAATTGCGGGATTATTGTAGAGTGCAGTGGACCCAAATATATAGAAGCTTAGACTTTTTGTGAAAGTGATCGGACCATATGTATTGTCGATTGCTGGACTAAACATTTTTCGCCATTCATTATAACCTAGGTGGCTGGATCCATCAAACATTATACAGGAAGAAGAAAGTGTCATAATACATAGGAAGGTGCCAAAAGATGACACATCAAATGGCACCTAAAGATTCGAAGCAGATTGGTCCTATTCCAAGCACTGAGCACCACCAGCTGCTTTTTTGTAAATTAAGAACATGTTTTCCACGTAGAGAGCTAGCTAAATATCAATTTCTCCATATGGGAAAAATAGTAAAATTAAATTCGTCTTCTTCTTCCTATCTAATTTTATCCTAAAAACAATGGCCATGAAATTTTTAAACGTTGCATCCGAAAAAACGGCAGGACTCTGTGTTGGATTTTCACCTATGCTTCTTGGGCGGTGCTGCTCACATGCAGTGTTGGGTAGACTGATTTTCTCAATTATATCTGGCATTCTGGGTCAAGATTTGGTATTTTGGAAGGTACCCTAGACCAATGGGATTGTGGCAAGTTTGGGAAACCAGACCACAAAAGATTGCAACTTCTTATATGTACTACGTGCCCACAATTTGGTCTGCACCACACAATTCTTGTAAGATGTGTAAATATATATGGATCCCACGTACATGTTTGCAATGCACGGTATGATAGTCTTGTCATAAGGGGTTCAGATGTATTTCTATTGTCAATTGCAAACAAAAATCAACCTGATTAATAATTCAAGGGTAAATTATTCAAATGGTTCTCAAATTTATATCCAATTTACATTTTGGTTTATAAACTAAATTATTCGTTCAAATGGTTCACAAACTCTTTATTAATTGGCGCTTTGGTCCTACCGTTACATTTTCTGTTAAATTTAGTCATGTGAGCAACACATGATATATTTTTTGAGGCAAAAAGACTTTTGACCTATGTATCGCCCTTTTATCACCACTTTATCACATATTTGGAGAACATAAGACGATTATGGACGGTTTTACCCTTACATTTGACGGCAGCATTAACATAATGTAACAGTAGGATCAATGGAGCGATTAAAATAGAGTTGATGGACCATTTGAACGAATAATTTAATTGAGGGACCAAAATGTAAATCGAGTATAAGTTTGAGGACTATTTGAGTACTTTACCCTTAATTCAAATTCACTGTTTAAAATGGGCTCTTTAAACCACCTTCTTAAATTTTAGAGAGGATTTGAAAAAATACAACTTCAACCATGCTCCCTATCCACCTCCTAAAATAGGGAAACCTCTAAGAGCTCCTAAATCTGAAAAGAGAGAAAAGACTCCTAGTGATTTCTTATAATTTAATGCCGCTTTGTTTTATGAGTATTTTAAATCTTTAATTATTTTTTATAATATTTTTTTAATAACATTTATGAATCTCTAAATTAGAGAGTATGATTAGAGTTAAATTTTTATAAAGAGCTCATTGAATAGCTTTTGTATGTTTTTAGCTAAATTTTAACTTAAAAATAGAGAGCATGATTTTAACAACCTGTATGTACGAGACCATGACGTGCCGGCCAAAACATATTTTAGTGCATAAAGTCAAAATCAATGAGTTGTGACCTTTCATTGTTGTGATATGGAAACTTTGAATTCCGCTATGTATGTAGGGTCAAATTCATGTATCTTATGGGAATACAAAAACTTGTGTAGCTCATTTTTACAACTAGTCGGAATTTTTCTCATGTATAATAAGAGATCATGCTCTCTAATTAGCCAGAATTTTAGGTACC